CTTCAGGGCGTTGGTGTTGAGAAGCGCTTTAAGGTTTTTTGGGGTCAGGGTCCGGGATGAAGAGGGCGTGGGAAGGCTAGGGCTTGAGACCCGTTTCCGGCAGCCAAGGAGCTTCTTGAAAGCGCTGCGGAAGGCGTCGAAGTCCATACCCTGCTCTGCCTCGCGTTCAAAAGCTTTGCGGAATGAGGCTCAACCGGCTCAAGCATGAAACCCGAACCCGAACCGGGTCTTGGAGTTCCAGAAGCTCCAGAGGCTCTGGGAACGGCATCGCAGGCTGCAAAGCAGAACGAAGGATCTTCTCTGCGAGAGATTTGGGACACGAACCTCAAGAGCCCGAGCCCCTTCTTCCGTTCTCAGCCGTCGGCGACATGTCGGTCTGCCACTCGGATCGTGCGTGTCCGGTTGGACTTCAAATTCGTCTGCGTCATGTGCCTCGGCCAAAACGATTCCTACATTGCCCGAACTCGAGTCGTCGTCACCACCACCAGCACCACCGTCGTCGTCATCCCTCATCCCTCATTCCCAGGACACAACCCCCTTTTGGGCCCACCCCCACCCATTCCCACTTGTGGGTCTAGGGCTTAGGGCCAGGCATGTTTAGGATATTCTTGAGAACGTTTTGACGCCCGGAGAGAGTTTCGGGTTTCGGGCCTGGGGTCCTGTCTGCAACTCCCTGACTCCCTGGAGGGGGAAGGGGGAAGGGGGAGTTAGCATAGGGTACTAACTAACCGCAACCCAAAACCCCAAATATTAGTCCAAATCCATCCCAATATATGAATACTCTATACCCAAATACCACCAGCCCAAAAAAGGGCAAAGCGGCAAAGCGAGGTTTATTCACTGGGACATAGTATGGTAGCAGTCCGGAAGGGGGGAGGGGGGGCACCGTAAACCTCGACCGAAACCCTTTCAAGCTCCAGGTCGAAGGGAAGCCGAGGGCACTGCCGCAGGTCTATCCGGTAGTCCACGCCTTTGGAGCATCGGAATCTGCTGAAACCCTTAACCCTTCCCAAAATACCAAACAGGGTTGGCCTTGAGCCCCTTTGAAAGATGTCTAAAGTGGGGTCCCTTCTAAGCCAAAATCAAGAAACAAACTATAACTCCCCATAGCTGCATACAAACTCCCTAAAAACTGTTTACCTACCTGCTCCCCACTTCTGGGGGCGGCGCGAACACGACGACGACTTTGAATCCTACTGCAGGGCCTCGGGCCCCTAAAAGTAGACCAAGCTGTGGCAACTTAGCAAACCCGAGCTCAACCCTGAGCCCACAGCAACCCCTCGAAACCATGATTCAAACAATCCGTGAAACTCTGGACCATGGCCTGCTGCATTCAACCCCTGTTCCCCCCTTATACTAACAGTCCTGAGTAGGGATTATAGTACCCCCTTTCTTATAACCCCTAAGACTGCTACTGAAAGGGGGAACATCCCAACCCAAGCCCTTCAGCTCTAAACCCCAAACACCTTCCCCCCAGACTAGAAGCACTGACTCAGAATGACGGCAAACCCAACATCCTACCAGAAACGCCCTAGGATGGCCCTTAAAACCCTCTGAGCACATATCCTCTTCCACTCAATAAGGACAAACTACAAAATAACCCCAAGGGGCCCACCTAGGCCCCCGAAACCCCTAAACCCTAAACCCCCTAAACCCTAAACCCTAAACCCCTAAACCCCTAAACCCCTCCGCCGAAGGGGTTCCCCGAGGTTGCTGCCGCGCGCGTGGATGGTGAACTGGATCTCCCCTGCATCCTGCAGGGATCTCGAGAGCTTGTTGGGGTTTAGGGTTTAGGGTTTAGGGTTTAGGGTTTAGGGTTTAGGGTTTAGGGTTTAGGGTTTAGGGTCTAGGGTCTAGGGTTTAGGGTTTAGGGTTTAGGGTTTGGGGCTTCGGAGATCCGCTCTGAAGTCCGTCCTGTCACCTACATGCAACTCATACAATGGTTGCCTGCTGAGTAGTCTTCCTACTGTTGCATCTTGCGCGTTAACGTCAGCCGCCCGCATCAATCCGCAAACCCCAAACTGCCCGGCCAGCTTCTGATGGGCCACAATTCCTCACTCGGTCTGGCTCTTGCCTTCTTGCGGACGATCGCGTCGCTCTCGAAGCTGGCAAGCCTGAATGTTCAGGCTTGGGGTTTAGGGCTTAAAGTTCCACCCTGTTTGCTGCGTGGCGCCCCCTTGAGCAGTTGGACCAAAACTAGTTCCCCCCCCCCCGGCTTTGGATCGCCCAACCTATTCTGACGATGCGGGGAGTCTGATTCTTCTCAGAGGACCTTGTCTGAACCTGTTTAAGCTGGCAAACTTGTCTGTGTTAGAGGGTCTCCCCAACTAAACTGGCTACAGCACAACACGGAACCCAAAGCATAATTAAACCCTTGAGGGTTTGGGGGGACCCCCATGCAGTCTGGGGGGAAGGCTGTTTCCAGTCTCCGGCGAGCCACACCTGCACAACCTGCTGAAGCTCCTGGCGGGCAGAAGGCGTTGCAGGCTGGATCCTGGTTCGCTGTCCGATTCGAGAAAAGCCCTGAGCCCTCCCAATGCCCCTAAACTTCAAACCCATCGAAGCCCTGCAACCCTGAAGCCTATAAACCCCATCATCTGAACCAAACTTCGACAAGGCTCCTCTGCGGGAGCCTGCGGCAGGTTGCCCATCGCCTGGATCAGGCTCCAGCTTCTGCGGGGACAGGGGAGGGAGTTTGGGCGTCTGGGGATTTAGAGGATCTGACGGACATAGGGCTTCAGGGATGTCATTTTAGGGGGCTTTTGGACTATTTCGAGGTCAGATCCTTGAATTCTAGGACTTATGTCCCTTGTGTCACTCTAGTTGGCGCCGGCCTCGCCGACCTCTGCCTCACCACCTACCGGCACACGCCGGAGGCTCCGCACCTCAAGTACAGACAAGCAGGGACGTGTGTCCATGCTTGCACGACAACCCTTACTTCCGAGGGCGGAACAAGAAAGCTATGAGGAGGGCCGGTTTAGCTTAACGCAACGCAACCTTATTCTCTGAGCCCCTGAAGCTTCAACAGATGAAGCCTTGAAGCTTCGTCTCGGGCTTCTTCGTGTTCGGGGCTTAGGGCATAGGGCCGTAGGGCCGAAACTTGACTAGGCCCCACTCAGGCAGGGGCTTTGCCAGATGCAAGGTTGGTTTGCGTCTGCGTCTCGGCATCGAAAGAATACTCCTGCCCAAGGGGAATCAAAAAGCTTTTCAGCTTCGATAAGCTCATCCCACCCTTCAGAGCCCAAGTGTTCCTTCCAGAGAAGAATTAACTTGCTTGAGAGGGACGAAACTTTCATGGACGCCTGGCCCCGCCGCTGAAGCCGGCCCACTCGAACTGCCGAGTGCCTATCGGAAAGCGGCAGGCTTGCTCTAAAATTTGGGTCCCCGTTAGACACAACTTGAGACCTTTGTTCATACAGGGGCCGAACCTAAGTTAAAAATCGACTCCAAGTGGTCCCAACTCAATACCCCAAGCGGATGCGCGGGGCTTCATGAAGATTGAAGCTCGGCATGGTCAAGAAGCACTTCGGCATGCCAGATGTCAGACAAGCCAGGTTGGGCATCGTTGTTGGGATCCCTTTGCGGGCATTGCTTTGAAACTTCCTTGATTGTCACTGCGTTCTGCAGAGGCGAAGGCATGAAAACCTTCGTCCTTTAAGGACCCAATATATCCGCCGGGAGCGGCTCATGGGTGGGTCGATGAGATGTCTTATCAAAGCTACAGCTACAGTACGCCCACCGAACCAACATTGCAAGCATGACACCGACACCGAGCCAAGGCGCAGCAACTTTTCCAGAAACTCCGACTCCTCCTCCTTTGCCGGACAAGTACGCACGTTGGGGGGGCCGGGGGGGGAGGGGTGGTTGCCACGATTGAGTTGGCAGGATCTCGGACAAAACGTGCCTCCAAACCGAAACCCCACTACAGTACTATTGAACAAGCTGTATAGGCCGGGGTCGGTGGGCTCCTGCTAACTACATGCGTTTGTCGGGTATGGAGCACAAGCACCTGCAGGCGCGCAACCCTCAATGCGAAGACCCCGAAGCCTTCTTCCGACTCAAGACGAAGCGGCACCCCGAAACCCAAAGCACGAAAGAAATGGGGTTTAGGTTTAGGGTTTAGGGTTTAGGGTTTAGGGTTTGGGTTCGGGGTTTAGGGTTTAGGGTTTAGGGTTTAGGGTTTAGGGTTTAGGGTTTAGGGTTTAGGGTTTAGGGTTTAGGGTTTAGGGTTTAGGGTTTAGGGTTTAGGGTTTAGGGTTTAGGGTTTAGGGTTTAGGGTTAGGGCTTAGGGTTTGGGGTTAAACCCAAGCCGAAAACCCCACTCTCCTTAAGCCAGCAAATAGCCCCAAACCCCCAAGCCGTCCTCCAGGCGCTCCCACTTTGGGCCGAGCTTTACCTAAAGCGAGGGGGCTTCGAGCTTGAGATTTACGGTCTAGGGTCGGTTTTTAAAAGTGCTGGGCGCTTATATAGGGCTCAGGAGCCCTTGCGGTCTCCGAATGCCTTGACTGGGAGGGCTTTAGGTGGATGTTGCGGGGTCCTAAACCCTAAACCCTGAACCCTAAACCCTTAACCCTAAACCCTGAACCCTCACCCTAAACCCTAAACCCTAAACCCTAAACCCTAAACCCTAAACCCTAAACCCTAAACCCTAAACCCTAAACCCTAAACCCTAAACCCTAAACCTGCCTCCCAGTGTGCCCCAAGCATGGTCGGGGATTCAGCCCTTCTCCATGGCACGGAGGACCGCACGGGTTTCGGGACTGGAGGTGCAGGATTAGGGTTTAGGGTTTGGGATTTAGGGTTTAGGGTTTAGGGTTTAGGGTTTAGGGTTTAGGGTTTAGGGTTTGGGGTTCAGGGTTTAGGGGGGCTGAGCCGAAACACTCTTGCAGCTTCGCCCTGACAAAGCCAAGCCAGATGAAGGGCACACATGATTCACGAGCAGGTTAAGCTGCTTGCACTACCGACCAAGCTGCAGCCTGGCACCCCAACTTCCCAAAGGCCTCCTCATCGAGTTCGCCCTGGCTTCAAGGGTGGGGGGGGGGGGTGGTTAGGCTTTAGGGTTTAGGGTTTTATGGCTTAGCACTTAGGGCTTAGGGCTTAGGAATTGGGTTTAGGGTGGGGGGGGGGATTGGGATCTCAGGACTCCAAGCTTCGGATCCTCAAGCGTCATCTTGTGTTAAGGGTTCGGCGGTCAAGGGGTTTGCATGTTCAGAGATTCGAGGAGGAGGAGGAGGAGGAGGACGGCACGCGGCAGTAACCGCTGCCTTACAACCACGTCCCCCCCCGTATCTCAGGAGAGCTCCGTAAGCGTCATAGCTCGCCTCCACGAGGGGTTCAAGTGGAGGACTAAACAGAGATTCGTATAGCTCGCAGGTGAGCGTCTCAGCCCAGGCCCTAAGCAGGACAAGTTGCCACGGTTTAGGGTTACCTACTCAGCCGACCTTGGACACCACTGAAGTCGCCACCAATGTCGCAGAACATTCTGATGAGAAGTTCAGCTTGAATTCACCTTGAATACCCACCCCAGAAGCCCTGGACCCAAACCCTCACTGATTCAGTCGGTCTTGCGCCTGCTCCCTAGAGAAACGTCGGCGAAGTCGCTCCAGGCTGCACAAGGCCTGCGTTCTCTTCACCCAATCCCCAGCACCCCATGATTCTCTGCACTCCGCTGGTGTTTTTCCGCGACAGAGGGTAGATTCTGCATCGAAGCCCTGGTGCATCGGAAAAGTAAAGCTGCAAAATGGCATGAACATGCACTAGGATTCAACATCCCTTCTCTAGGCCCGAAATTCTTTGAGGCCTGAATACTAATTTCCTAATGTGTACTAACATACTAACATACTAATCTACTAATCTACTAATCTACTCATATACTAATATACCAATATACGAATATACTAATGTACTCATATACGAATATACCAATAATCCAACATACTTAGTATACTAAAGTGATATCGTCATACAATCGAAGAATAATGCTACAATAAACCCCATCTGGTCAGAAGGCCTCTTCTAGCGCGCAGTCGCGGCCTTGGATCGTTTTGAGGCTTACCATGGGGGCTTGAAGTTTTGGACTGAGGGTTTAGGGTTTAGGGTTTAGGGTTCAGGGTTTAGGGTTTAAGGTTTGGGGTTTGGGGTTTAGGGATTAGGGATTAGAGTTTAGGGTTTAGGGTTTAGGGTTTAGGGTTTAGGGTTTAGGGTTTAGGGTTTAGGGTTTAGGGTTTAGGGTTTAGGGTTTAGGGTTTAGGGTTTAGGGTTTAGGGTTTAGGGTTTAGGGTTTAGGGTTTAGGGTTTACGGTGAGTTTTTTGGGTGCGGGCTTTGAGGGCTGAGGGCTTTCGGACTCAATGCATGCACCCCAAGCTTCTCCTGGATTCCAAATGCCCTCGCCCCAGAACCTGACACCCCTAAACACCCCCAACCCTTATAGTCCTTAAGAGGGAGCTAAGCTTGGAAGCCCTTCGAACTCTCCCTCAAGGCCCCAAGCCCTGCAAGGCCCCCCTGAAACCCTCAAAGCCCATTCAACACCAAAAGCCTCAGAAGAACACCTCCTGGACCCCCCCCTTTGAGCCCTGAAGCCCTTGCCAGGACTCCCACCACGGAGGTGCGCCTTTGCGGCCCTTCCTGGCGCGTTCTCCAATGGGGTTTAGGGCGGGTTCAGGGTTTCGGGGCTTTGGGGGTTGGGGGTTTTGGCGTTTAGAATAGGGGTTGAGGGAGCTAGAACTTAGGACGATCTACGCTTTAGGGGTTTGACGGCTTAGGGCTTAGGAGCGTATTGAGGGGGTAGGGCTTAGGGAAGTTTAGCGGTCAGGATTGCGAGCTAGGGGCGTGTATCAGCACTGTTCCTCCCCCCGCTCTGCCCGAAAGCCCCCTGTAGCGCCCACAGTGCCCCCCAACCTTACGCCCGCCCCTCTCAGACCCTCAGCTCGGATCCCTGAATCTTATGTAGGGGGTGATCTACAACTTGGGGCCCTTTGAACGCCTCTCTTCGTTTCAGATCCACTCTGAACTCTCTAAACCCCAAACCCTTCACCCTAAACCCCAAAAAGGACCAGGGACCCTAAGTTAGACAACTACCCATGAACCCTAAACCCCAAAAAGGACCAGGGACCCTAATTTAGAGAGCTACCCATGAACCCCAAACCCCAAAAAGGACCAGGGACCCCAGCTTAGAGAACTACCCATGAAGGCTTCGTGTTGGGAACCGAAGCCCCTGGGCAACACGAAGCTCGAAGGACAGGCGCCCCAGGCCTAGACGCGCCAGGGCGCAGCGCCTCCGGGGCCCAGGGCTGGGGTTGCCCCTCCCTCGCCCTAGAGGGTTTAGGGTTTAGGGTTTGGGGTTTAGGGTTTAGGGTTTAGGGTTTAGGGTTTAGGGTTTAGGGTTTAGGGTTTAGGGTTTAGGGTTTAGGGTTTAGGGTTTAGGGTTTAGGGTTTAGGGTTTAGGGTGGGTTTAGGGTTTAGGGTTTAGGGTTTAGGGTTTAGGGTTGGGGCCGATTATCGTGTTCTAGAACCCGAAAAGGCCCCAAGCCCTAAAACCCGGCAACCCCTTCAACCCTACATACATCCTAAGCCCTACAACCTTGGGAGCATCCCAACCGAAGGCTTTCTCAGCCCACACAAAGTGCAACCCAGCCTCGATTTGAATGGCAATGCAGAAAGGTCGAGACTCTAAAACCCCTGAGGCCGAAAACCCTAAACCCTAAACCCTCAACCCCAAATCCTGCAACCCTAAACCCTAAACCCTAAACCCTAAACCCGAAACCCTAAACCCTAAACCCTGCGAACCCCCAAGGAGCCTCCTCAGCCGACCGACCTCCGCCTGCCGCTCGGCGCAGCTTCTTCTCAGGCGCAGGCCGTACGCCTGACATGGGGGGGGGGGGGGTTCCGATATTAAATATGGGGGTTTCTGTAAGTAGGGTTTAGGGTTTAGGGTTTAGGGTTTCGGGGTTTCGGGTTTCGGGTTTCGGGTTTAGGGTTTAGGGTTTAGGGTTTAGGGTTTAGAAAATCCTACTATTTGGGGTTCTATTTCCCTATTTTCGCAAAACCCCAAATGGCTTTGGCGGAGGCAAGGGCGCCTCCTCGGCCTTCCGCCGCAGCCGGAGCTCCTGGTTCCAAGGATGCTAAAGGGGTTGGGCCTTTTTGGGGGGGGGGGGGGGGTTCAGGGTTTAGGGCTTAGGGTTCAGGGTTCAGGGTTCAGGGTGTAGGGTTTTGGGAGTTCAGGGCTTCACGGGCAAGAAATGGCCAAGAGCATGAAGTTCGGGGCCAAGCTTTGCGCCTGCCTCGTACTGCGACTGCTGCTCCTGCGCCTGCCCAGCAGCCCAACACGCGATAAGTAGGAACTCTAAGCCCTAAACCCTAAACCCTAAACCCGAAACCCTAAACCCTAAACCCTAGACCCTAAACCCTGGCAGGTTTCAAGGCTGGAGTGCAAGTTTGCCTTAAGGGCCTCGAGAACCCGAGCTTCCCAGCACCAGGGCCAAGTTCTGAAGTGGCTTGATCGGGTGCAGGGGAGCGCTCCCGACAGGTTGCTATGTGGTTTGAAGGCTTCGCATTCGCAGAGCTTGGGCTTGTAGGGGTTGGGGTCTTCCGTTCACACTACCATTCCGGAAGGCCCGCTGGAAAGGAGCTTCCGAGTTTGCTTGTCTTCTGCAGACATGATGTTGGCCCTTCATTCCGTATCGTAGGCAGCGCGTGCTTCAAGAGCACAACCTAATCTTCTCCTCAATCTGGGTCCTTATCGCAAGCCAATGCCCAGCGCAACTTCTTGTATTGAGGGGCATGGCAAGCCTACAACGACTTTGGGCCGCCAGCCTTCTGAACCAGTCGCGCGGAGAAGCCCTGCTCGACACACGCCACGGCCTGGCTAGATCCCAGCTTTTCCGGTAAAGACGAACAGGGCCAAAATGACTTGGGCACTTCCCACAAATTAGGGGCCCTTTTCATACCCCATGTGCAATGGAAGGGTATTTTGATAAGGGTACCTTAATTTTGGAAGGTCCAGCCTCCTCGAAACCACCCATAAATACCCGGAGGTTGTTTGTCAAGCCGTGTTAGGCTCTTCTAAGCCCCCTTCAACACGAGATAAGGACTCAGGGGAAGAAAACCAGGTACGGCGCCTCTCTCACTGCGGTCTTGGCACCCTTCTCCACCTGCGACAACTCGTCACGAAGTGACTGGACCTGCCAAGATCAACAGGTTGGGCCGCTGGGTCTGGGGGTGGAAAGGAACATAGTGGCCACCCTCGAGATTCGGAGAGATTTGGGAGTCAGGCGAGCACTGGCATGTAAGATCGCAGCCAGCCTCACCGCACATTTCTGCCTCCCTCGGACGAGCATTCTTTGAATCAGGCTGGCTTCTGGGCTGTCTCGATCAGCACACCCTTCAGCACAAAACTGTGTAAATGTTCGCCCCTCACTGGCCCTTTCTGGCTCCAAGTTCGGTTAGTCGGTCGGGAATTGCAGGACCTTGGAACACTAAGGCTTTTTGCACAAGTTTAGGGGTTTAGTTAAGTTGAGTTTTCAGTTCAAGGTTCAGGGTTCAGGGTTTATGGTTTCGGGTTGAGACCGGAAGAAAACCCCTCCAACCTTTGGCCCCCGCTCCCCCCCCCCCAACCTCGGCAGAGAGGGCCTCAAGCTGGCTTCGCTGCTCCACGGAGTCCTGGGCCTGCGGGCGTCCCGCTCCCTACAACTCCTGTCACACACACAGTATTCTTGATTTCAACATGATTACTATCATCATGACGATGACGAGGAGTACTACTATGAGTTGCTATAAACCCTGCATGAACCCTGAAATCCTGCACAAACAACCCTCCAGGCCTTGTGTGGACCCGTGAGGGGGCTACCCGCCCGCCAGCGAAACCTTAAACTCTATACCCAAAAATCGCCAAAACTTTTGACTGGCCACTCATCACCCCTTCATGGTCCTCAAGTAAACCCTAAATAAGCCTGAAGAACCCTTACTGGCTCCAAACAAGCCCGTCCATACTCCTCCATAACTTCTCATCCCAATTGGCCCAAAATAGGCCCCAACAGAGCCCAAAAGCAACCCTCAGCCAGCCCTAAATAACCTTAAGTCGCCACCCTAAACCCTAAACCCGAAACCCTAAACCCTAAACACCCAAACCCTAAGCCCTAAACCCCTGGCTTCGGCTCCTCCAACCTCCGCCGCTCACTGTCGGCGGTGATGGCCGCGGCCTCCGGGCACCCAGCGGCTCCGGAGTGAGCAGGGATCTACTCCCCTCCCCATAATATTAAACCCACCCCCCCTACCCCCAAATACCGAAAAACCCCCAATCTACTATCATGTAGCTATAAAAAGGGGGGGGGGGGGGGGGGGGGTAGGTATTGAATATGAGGGGTAGGGGGGGGGGGTTTAATATTAGGGGGGAGCAGGGATATACATGGTGCCGGGCTGAGGCTAGAAAGGGTTCATGTTGATTTATATTTATACTTATAGTTTATATCTCTATTTGTATTTATATTTATATTTATATTTATATTTATATTGATATTTATTTATTTATATTTATATTTATATTTATATTTATATTTATCTTTATCTTTATCTTTATCTTTATATTTATATTTATATCTATATTTATATTCAAATAAATATTGAAATGTATATTTAAATTTGTATTTACATGTATATTTAGACTTATGTTTCTATTTCTATTCATATGTTGATAATAGACGTCTATATGTTTATACAGGGTCTGTACAGGGTTTGTACAGGGCAGGCTTTCAGGCTTTAGGGCCGGGGTGTTGGGATGCCAAGCTTTAGGACTCATGGTGCTGGAGGCCTTCGGCCCTGTTGCTTGACGTGCCCCGTTTAGAGTTTAGGGTTTAGGGTTTAGGGTTTAGGGTTTAGGGTTTAGGGTTTAGGGTTTAGGGTTTAGGGGTTTAGGGGGTTTAGGGTTTGGGGTTTGGGGTTTGGGGTTTGGGGTTTGGGGTTTGGGGTATGGGGTTTGGGGTTTGGGGTATGGGCAATTCTGTGGCCAAGCTTGCCGCTTCTTTCAAACTCACGGGCATGAATCCCTGTCTTGTGACCTCCCTTACCGTACTCGGATGGCGTTTGACCCAAAGCCCTCAACCCAACATCTGGAAGTCCTAAACCCTAAACCCTCACTCCCTTTCAGCCTGCTGGGTCTGAAGGGCACGCAGCTCCGACACTCGCTGTCGCCAGCGCAGCTGCTCCTGACAAGCACTGGCTTTGACCTGGGGTGTTTCGGATCCTCAAGACAGCATGTCTGGTTGAGGCTTCGGGGCTTAGCGCCTGTTAGCACCCCAGAACGTTGACCTTTAAGCCCCACAAACTCCGGCCCCTGCGCCTCCATGGCTGCGGCCAAAGCCGCCTCAGCGGCCATCGTAGCCTCCTTCTGTGTGCCTGGCCCGGGCTTGGGGCAGTTTGGCGCCCGGGGCTTCAGGGGTATGAGGTGTTGTGACTCCTCTACTTGCGAAGCATGGGATAAATTGGCCCGTTTCCTCAAGGCTGCAAACAAGAACAACAGGAAGCTGCTAAAGAGCAACGCTCTCATGACATCGGCGCAATTCTAGATTTGGGGGTCGCCCTGCGGGTAACTTTCATAGTCAGACAGCAGTACCTAGACGGGGCACGAGGAGGGGAGCCGAAATTAGAGCAAACACAACAGGCAGAGTCCAGAGTGGGTCTGGGGCTTTGAAGGCTCAAGGTTTCAGAGTGCACTCTTCATGGTATACCAATAAACCCTAAACCCTAAACCCCCCTTGTTTGCGCGACATGTCCAAAGCTGGGCCACGAGCTGTACGCCTCTTCCATGCCATCGCGATCGGCCTTGAGTTTGGCACGCTATGGGGTTGGGGATCCTACTATTTGGGGGTCTGTACTAGGGGCCCCCTATTTTCGTAAACCCCCACATGGGGGCTGGAGCTTGATTGAGGATGCTTGAGGGGAGTGGGTGCGCAGGGCTGGCGAAGGTTCTTGAAGTTGACGCGAGGGCGTCCAAGCTAATGCTTTTGCTCCCAAAACCCTAAACCCTAAACCCTAAACCCTGTTGCATGTTGCGGCACTCGCCTAGATTCTACTCACGGTGCTACTCCTTGTAAGTCTGGAAGCACTGCTTCGACTCGAGGCCGACGGCCTCACTTAGAAATCTACAGCAAGGCTCCGACCGTCCTCTCCAACAGGCGCATCGAAACTCTCTCAGTCGTCATTTCTTCGCACCGAATTCTTCGACGGTTTACGGCTCACTTTTTCGGAGGGCACAGCCAAGTTCTCAAAGTACTCCCCATAGATGCCCCACCCTGGAGCGCGAGCTCTTTCCCCGGCGTTTCCCTTTCCTTTCTCCTGCTGAAGGTCATTCCTTCACTTGTCGGGGGCCCAATGTACTAGATGTCCCCCCGCAGTCTTGTCCCAGGTCGCCTGCGCGAGCTCGGCACATCACCACGGAGCCGATGTGCCCTCACAACCCTCTAGAATCTAGAAACCCTTCCGGCAACTATGGCTGCCTGCTAGGCTATTCTCCCTCGTTTCTCCCCCACTCACTCTCCAGATGCTAACCTTCCAAACCCGTTCGCAGCATCCATGTGGGAAATTCTTGTCCTGACTTCCCCTTCACTTCAGCCGACAGCACCCTCAAGCCCACTCACCCCTACCCCAAGATAAACAAATCCATGTACACATATATATTTCTAGATTCTATGCTATAATATAACATGATGTAACATAGTATAGTCTATGACAATATGGGTATATGTATTAAAAGACACAGACACACACACATACAGGAAGCCTATGATAATATGAGTATATGTACTAAAAGACACAGACACACACATACAGGAAGCCCTAAACCCTAAATCCTTTGACCCTTTGACCCTTCTAACCACGTCAGCCCCCCATCCTTCAGCGCGGCCAGGCGCTGAGCTGAGGCACGGTCCTGCAGATTTCTAGGGTTTCGGGTTTAGGGTTTAGGGTTTAGGGTTGAGGGTTTAAGGGTTTAAGGGTTCACCCAACTGCGAGATGTTGGAACGACTTCATGCTCGACCTGCCTTCAAGATTTTAAGAGAACGAGCGCTTGCAGTCACTCCGGGAGTTCCAAGCCATCCCAGAAAAAAAAAACTCAACCCCTAAGAGCCCCAAAAAGTTCCTGAACTTCCCACCTATAAAGCCTCGTAGGGTTTAGGGTTTAGGGTTTAGGGTTTAGGGTTTCGGGTCTCGGGTCTCGGGTCTCGGGTCTCGGGTCTCGGGTCTAGGGTCTAGGGTCTAGGGTCTAGGGTCTAGGGTAGGGTTTAGGGTTTCGGGTCTCGGGTCTAGGGTCTAGGGTTTAGGGTTATGAGGCTCAAGAACCTCAACTCCCCCCCAACCGCAGCCTCCGATTGTCTGGGCTCCATGGCCGAGAGGATGGGGGCGAAAGGGCTCAGGCTGGCTCAGGGGCCTTGAGGTTCAGGGCTTAGGGTTGAGATGGGGCTTAGATGGGCTTAGTGTTTCGGGGTTGAAAGTTTAGATGGGTTTAGGGTTTGGGGTGCAAGGTTTAGAGTTTAGGGCGGGGGTTTTGGACCTGAGAGGTGTAGGGCTTGCGGGATCTCGGTGTCTAGGAGCTTGCTGAACATGTGTGGGCGAGCCACGAGCTGCGCGATTCGGGGATGCTCACCCGCCGGCTTCATGCACCATCCTTTAGGGTTTAGGGTTTAGGGTTTGGGGTTTGGGGTTTGGGCTTTGGGGTTTAGGGTTTACGGTTTACGGTTTAGGGTTTAGGGTTTAGGGCTTAGGGCTTAGGGTTTAGTGGTAGACCCTCAAGACAGTTCTGGAAAAGGTTTGGGGCCCAGGGCTTGCCAGCTTTGCCCATGTTTCTGCGGCAAGGACCAGTCGCTTTCGATATCTCTCACCTACGCGGAAGAAGCGCAAGCATTGGAGAGCCATCTCCCAGTGTCTTGTGTCTGGAGATCATCCCCAGACTGGCATACGGCAAAAGGCTAAGGGGGTGAAACGCCGCACAGCCCCAATCGATTCATCGAAATCCAGGTCCTCCGACTGGTCGGCAGTGATAAGTAGGCCTGGGGCAAGATCAACTCCCTAAACCCTTTAGGGTTTAGGGTTTAGGGATTAGGGTTTAGGGATTAGGGATTAGGGTTTAGGGTTTAGGGTTTAGGGTTTAGGGTTTAGGGTTTAAGGTTTAGGGTTTAGGGTTTAGGGTTTAGGGTTTAGGGTTTAGGGTTTAGGGTTTAGGGTTTAGGGTTTAGGGTTTAGGGTTTAGGGTTTGGGGACCCTAAACCCTAAACAGCAACCACTAACAGCTACACTCCCCCCCCCTCCCAAAGCGGTCCAAGGCGCATAGCGCATCGAGCGGAGCAGCATTGCGCGTTGATCCAGCAGGGCTCGTTGATTCCTTTACAGTCCTGCCTGGCAAAGCTAGCACACGATGCTTTGTCAAATGCCCTACGATGCCAGAAGAGAATTGGCAGTGTTCGGTCTGGACACGAGACATCAGGTGCAAGGCCTGCCACCACCATTGCCACCGCATACATTGCAACTGCGGCGGCAATTGCTCCGCATGTATGCCGCGTTGCTGGAACCTTAAAAGTTGAGTTCGGTTTTTTGTAGGGTTTGCACGAGGCTTAGGGGGTTCCTGGACTGGATGCATCACGGAGCAGTAGCCCAGGCGTGCCCAGCCGTAGCATTGCCAGTTCCTAAGTCTGGCACAGCCACGCCTGCATGCCCGCATCCTAGGCTGGATAGTGCCACTGTGCCTGAGATTCTGCCCAAGCATCTTGTCTGCGCATCCAGAGGAAGTGTCGGAAGCCTGTCGCTCTAACATCAGCGCTGCCGATGTGTTGGTGTCCATGTGAAGCCAGTAGTCAACCTCAGCAAACGCACACGCGAGCCAGGGATTTGGGGTGTAGGTTTTTGGCAGAATTCTTCGGTGCCTCAGAGTGTCAGATCTTTGATACAGAACTTTCCGCCAGAGAAGAAAGTGGCACGTGCAACACCCGTAGCCTAAGTCCCAAACCTTTGCATCAGAACTTTCAACTGAAACCTTTCAAACGAAACCCTTCCAAACCCTTAACACAGTAGGCCTCCTTGTTCTCCAAGAGTTCAGCCAAGGCAACCTCACTATCTGAGCGGTGCCCCTGCTTGGGGAAATGCTCATATCAGACCAACCATCTGCAGCTTCCGAAGAATGAGTTGGCAAGGCAAGGAAGAAAGCAAACAAGACGCGGCATGATCCACAACAGCCTCACAACTTCACAACAGCCTGCTTCGGCTGAGTGGCATCTATACCCTCTTCAGCCCCGGCCGGGAGTAGCGCTGCCTTAATGAAAGCGCACTGCCCGGCACGACGCACACGATTGAGGCGGCAAAGGAAGCTTCCGACGCGAATTCAGGCAAGCCGCGCCAACCAGAGACGCCGTCAGAACGACTTGAGCGAGATTCATTGGAAGGCGTATGGCCAACAAACTGGCGTCAGCTACTTTTGGATCACTTTTGGCTTGTGCATAGACACGTCTCGAGCCCGTCAAGCAGACACCGCGGGCTATACAAACATGACAATCTGGCACCACCTTTGCTCACGGATGTGAACTGCGTGTCGATTTCAACAGCCCTCAACATTTTCTATAATTAGGGTTCCATATTAAAACAATAAAGGAAATTAAAAAATATCCAAAATCGATACCGGACCTAGTGAAGCATGAAGGCACTTGCACATCGATCTCTTTTCGCGGCTATTGCGGCATGATGCGCTTCGTCAAGAACTCCTTCATCCAGGCCTCAGCAGACATCTGCAGACATCGGTAGACATCTGCAGACTGCTGAGGAACCATGGCATCAGAACTGAGAGGCTTGGGCACAGACCTTTCGAAGAAAGCTGCTGATGCATTGGGCCCATGATGCTCTTGCTTGCCTCAGCGAAGCTCTCAGAGGTCATTCGCGTGATGCCTATCAAAACCCAGTAACCCTGCAACCCAGATGCGCAAAGTCTGCAGCAACCTGGCCCGGTGTTGGTTTGGCAGCATGTGCTCACGCTATCTTTGTCTATCGCCAGGTAGCATATATAAACCAATTAGTAAACAGAGCCGTCAGTCATTCCTTCCTACACGAGGTAATAGTCACACACGAACAGAGCATGCATCCGGCGTCTGTGCAACATTGCAGAGACTTGCTATGAACTAGATGGGAATTTACGAAAATCAGGGACCCCTAATATGAGCCCCCAAATAGTAGTTATAACGAGGGACCACAGTAAGGTACCCCGAATTTCGGATACTTAGATCCTTAGTGCAAGCTCTGGTTGTGCACCTCCAGCTCAGCATTCGGCAGTGCGGCGGCCAGCTCTTCCGCCGCCTCTCCCGGAGTCCCCCCACCCACGTCTCCCCCTGCCCCTAAACCCTAAACCCTAAACCCTAAACCCGAGCCATAAACCCTAAACCCTAAACCCTCAACCCTAAACCCTGAACCCTAAACCCTCTTAACACGCTCCGTACTCTGTGGCTTTAAAGACAGGGTCCTCCACAGGATGCTCTGCATCTCCAGCAACGGCCAAGAGAAGAACAGGGCAGCCTGGAGTCAACCTGCGCCCAAAAGAATACAAATATTGCAAATATTAGTATTGCTCATCATATCAATACCTAAACAAATATTTAATAATACTAATAATCTTAATAAGATTAGAAATATTAGTCATACTAATCAATCATATTAACCGACAGCAAGATAAACAGGTCCCTCGGCGCGTTGGCACGCCGGTTGCCGCCGAGCTGCGGAACACCATAAGCGTCCGCAGCCATTGTCGAGGGTGCTTTGGCCAGGTTCTCCTCTGCGCTCTCTCGAGTTGGGAGTCTGGGGCAACGAACAGCCTAAACCCTAAACCCTAAACCCTAAACCCTAAACCCTAAACCCTAAACCCTAAACCCTAAGAGTCAAGCTCCCTCCTTGCAAGGAGGGCCCGCAGTGACGGACACAAATATCTCAAGGACTCTTTAAGCGTCTCCTTCAGGCGGCCTATCAGCTGCAGGTCCGGCTGCTGAGACTCCGCATGTCCGCGCACAGCGGCCGCGAGCGTCTCCTGAGGCTCCAGAAGCATCAGCCCTCTCAAGTTCTGAAGGATGCTTCAGGGATGTCCTTTGACAGAGCTTGTCGCTTCTAACTTGTCTCTCATGGAAGACAGGTCCCCCCACCTTGCCCATGGCACGCCTCAGTGCAAAAAGCTGCTCCAAGTCGGCCTCTGTGAAGCTGGCGGCGCCGTTCAAGAGGGGCCCGTTGTCCGCCTTCTCCATGGCCTCCAGCGCCTCGAAGCCCTGCTTCTCCAAAGTGGCGGCGAGTTGGCGCATCTGGTCTTGCCAGGCTGCATCCACCACTCCCCGTGCCACCTGCGCGAGGGCCTGTGGCGGACGCATCAGTACCAAACCTGGCGGGGCATCTACTGAGCCGGTGCTGGTCGCAGCCACGGCTGCATGCAGAGCCACTGCAGCACCCAGCGCCTCACCTCCGTAGAAGCACCGGGACACGGAGTCTGCGGCCGCTCGTCGAAGGTCTTTGGCTAGCTCAGGCCAGGTGTACTGCTCGTGTCCCCTGGCTGGGTCGTGTGCACCAGCCGAGCGGCCATGGCCGCGCAAATCGAAGCGGAGAACCGTCCGATTCCCCAACTTCCCAGGGTCCAAGACATGATCCAGGCCCCTGAGCTCATCCGCCTCGCAGCTGCCTCCAAGTCCGTGCGTCCAGACCTCAGAGTCCAGAACTACACGAATAACCACGAAGGACTTCAAACCACAATCGAAACCACAGAGGAGACCCCACAGAAAGGCACGTGACAGCACCCACCAAGCGGCCAGAGCAGGAGAGGAGCCAAGCACGGAAACGCCGTGCAGGTCCGCGCCTCGTGTCTCCACCTTCGTGCCCCAAAGATAGCATCCCTCTTAATTTTGAGTCCCAAATTCCCCCCCCCCCCCCGAAATATACAGCGTCGTCCTAACAGACTGCACCTCGGACTCCTGAGCCCTCATGCCCCCCAAAGACAACCCAAGCTGGAGCGGCCCATCGCGACGCAGCAGCCCGAAGGCGCGCAGCCCGCATGGCGGAAACACCGGCGTCTACTGCTGCCAGGAGTCCGAATGAAAACCAAGCGAAGCCTGTAAACGAAGGCCTCGAAACGCCTCAACCCTAAGCCGGATCTTCTGCGGGAATTGTCAAAAAGTACATGCTCTGGTGCAATCATTCACAGGGTCCACTGGCCAACCATCTAACCGATGAGGACGAGGAAGTTCTTCCTATCTGCAGCTGGCCCGAAGGAAACCCAGCATCTCAGCCTCCGAGCATTTTGAGAATTCGTTAACGGCCAGTCTACACATGGCTTCGACGAGCGCGGGATCCGGACTTTGAAGATTCCACACAACAAAACACAAAAGCCGATGCCGAAGATCCTTCATCCCTCGCACACTTCCTAGAGTTCCTGGTAAGTTTTTTTGTATGACAGGCCGGATCCCAAGGTGCAGGGTGCACCTGCACAGGTTCGTTTACATTCGTTTACAACAGCATCCGAGGGCCCCTCTCACCGTATGGCGGGTGGGCCCCAAAGCCTGCTGCTTGGGGGCAGTCTCGTCTGAGACTAGCACGGTTTTCTTCGGTGAGACTCTGGGACTGCTTCCCTGTTCCTCTCGTTTGCACCGTGTCATCACCAGATGGCACCAGATAGCTCTTCTGCGGAATCAACTCAAGTCCTTTTCTGTGGTTTAGAGACCAGGTGAGTGCTCTTCCCTCCTTCGAAACTGGGAGGTGCCAAGGGATGCAATGCTCACATCATTGCTCCGAGTGCCGTCGTCGGAATGTCCCAGGCTTCTGCCTCAAGCAAGACAAGGTGGAATCTCTGTTATGAAGGCAAACATCTGGGCTCTTGGAAGCACTCTGGTCACATCAAAAACTCTCTCAAACCTCGAGGGTAGGTGAGAGCAGTGCTGCAGACGGAACGAGCCACATCGACTGCATAAGGAATCTTTTCAAAAAGCCCTAAACCCTCAAACCTCAAACCCTAAACCCTAAACCCTAAACCCTAAACCCTAAACCCTAAACCCTAAACCCTAAACCCTAAACCCTAAACCGTGACCACCGAGGTGCTGGAGATCATCTCCTCCCCACGCTGTGCGCGTCTGCGCGCCTGAGCAAGGGCCGGCGCAAGAAGATGCTCACCACAGGCCAGCTCGGGGAACTTTTAGGGCTTTGGAGCTTCGTCTTTCTATGCACAGCCCTCTCCGCCGGAGATTGCTTGCGGTGCTACGAACTCCGGGAGTCTCAAGCTCATGCCTTGTGCCTTGCTGGTCCTCCCAGTCCCCATTTCAGCGCCTGCCAGATGCACACCTCGGCCTCTAACTCGATCCTGGCAGGGGGTGATGAAGCGCCCCCAAGTTGGCTAATCCCCTCCCCCTAATATTACTAGGGGTATTTTATATTAGGGGGTAGGGGGGGGGGTTTAATATTAGGGATGGAGGTTCCTTTAGGCACACCGGAGTTGCTCATCAATCAATCAGGTCCTTTGCGCGACGCTTCTTTTGCCTCTGCCTTTCACCAGGCAGCTTGCGGTGGTGTCCTGGCGACTCTAATCCCAATCTCTAACTCCAATATTCCAATATACATTGAATAGAAAAGTGAATACCAAAATTATAGTAGATTAATAGAGAAATATAATGAAATATTAATAGAGTAATATTATGAGGTAACATGCAATAATACAATGATATAATACAATGGCAACAATGTCATACTATAACATAGATGAATATAACAATGACATGATATACTCATGTGACTATATAGTATCTTCGTATAATCATATAAGATTAATATATTTTCTAAAAAAAAAACCTGATGACAGAAGTACAACAAAGTAGCAGTCTAACAGTATTGGCAGCAACGAGTGGGCAGCAGATCATGGACGTCCTGCCGGCCGGAGGCCGAAGCCCTCAGAAAAGGTCTGGGCCATGACACCACCTGCAGTGCGCATCATGGGTTTAGGGTTTAGGGTTCAGGGTTTAGGGTTTTGGGTTTAGGGTTTAGGCTTTCGGCTTTAGGGTTTAGGGTTTAGGGTTTAGGGTGTAGGGTACCCCACTGAATACCAACCAGTAGAGCTCAGTAGGGAGCTTCGGGTTCAATTTGGGTTCTTATGAACCCCAGTATGACGCGCGTGCATGACTGGAGCTGAGCACGGCGTATTCTCAAGGCCTGGAGCGACGTGCGAGCCAAATCCGGAGGACATGGAACCGGCACCTGCTGGGAACTTGGAGGAAACTCGCGGGAGTTCTTGAAGGGTGTGTTCTTGGATGTTTACCATGTTTTCCCATTAGCTCAAGGAGTTCAGACATCAAACAGGCGCCGGGATCACCGAATGAGGATCTCGTGTCGTAGCCGGAGGCAAAGCTGGTGGTCGTGGAAGCAAAGGGGTCCTGGCAGGCAGATCTCAAAGTGATGCCTACCAGCGCGCCAGGCGGACGCCTTACTGATACTGCGACACCAAAGGGACAACTTTGCAAAGCAGGGACAGTCCTGCAGACCAAACTTTTGGGTTATGATCTGTGGGCGCCTGTGATCAACGAGACACGGCAGCACACCATTCACCATTCAACACAGCAAAACAAGCGCAGGCGCAGGCGTCTTACTGTATCACCCAAGATCATAGTATCATCAGACAACTCCTAAATCCTCAAAAGGGGCAGGCACATCGCATGGCCTCTGCGGTTGCATGGGCGTCATGATGGGCCGGAGCATGCTCTGAAGATTCTTGGTGGCCTTAGGGTTGAGGAAGAAGGAAAGACATTTCGAATAAATTGCGACTTGCTCTGAAACTTTAGTGAGATTCGTGCTTTGGGGGCATCTTGGGGTCTGGCGGGTCGCGAGTTGGGCGCCCCAGGGGTCTCCTCCGGCGCTGTCAACTTCTCAGGCAGAGTGGGGAGAATTCTCACAGGGCAGCAGCGGAAGCAGCTGAAGCTCCGGGCACAAAAACGCGCTCCCTTTTCTCTCTTCGCTCACAGCTTCTGTCTTTTGAAAACCTGGCGCAAGACATCCTGCGGAACACATGCATGCCTGCCATCAAAGGATGCAGGCAATCAGCGGTGCTGGCCTAAAGCCACACGTCGCGTGTCTGCATAGCAGAAGCGCAACATTCTTGCGTTGGCTGCCTCAGAGCTTGCCCGAGCGCGCGCCGCACTTGAGCAGTAGCTCCTCCACACGGTGAAGCCCACGCCGTCTGGCCAGTGACAGGGCGGAGTTGCCTTGTACCAGCGCAAGAACCCCCAAACATCCCCAAACCCTCGACTCCTCTTTCAAAAGAATACACCCTCCCAAAAGCCCCTAAAACTTCCCACAAGAAGGCCACAACTACCAACCTTCTCACTTTCTGATAATGATAAAAGAAAAGAAAAGAAAAGAAAACAAAGCAAAACAAAAGAGAACAAACAAGACAAACTACCAACCCTAACAAAGGACAACAAACATGACCAACCCTTATAACACGTATACTAATCATCATCATCATCATCATCATCATCATCATCATCATCATCATCATCATCATCATCATCATCATCATCATCATCATCATGAAGCAAAGCCAAAACCAAAAAAAACTGAATATAACAAACTCCCTGCCGTCCGCGGAGCCGTGTTCGTTGGGACTCGAAGGGTCCGCCTTGGCCGCACACAGCCGCGCCACCAGCGCCAAGTGGGCCGGAGAGGCCTCGAAGCCCCGCTCCTCTCAGGTGTTTTTTGGGGGGTTTCAGGGGTTGAGGGTTTGGGGTTTAGGGTTTAGGGTCTAGGGTGGTCTTAGGGGTGGCTTCAAGGGGGGGAAAATGTTTGGGTCGTCGGTCTTCTTAGGGCTATTTAGGGCCCTGGTTTTTTGGCTTTGAGAACTTTGGCAGGCTGTGGGCTTTGTAGAGTTTGGGGGGCGGGTTGGGTGGCTCCTCCCAGTTGGGATGGCCGGCGACAAGCTGCAAGCACGTCCGCCCCCGCTTGTCCTGACTGCACACAAGGCATCCTCAAAGCCCTGAATCACGAAAATCTCATACACACTATCCCCGGGCGTGGCAAGACGTAGAGCCCCTTATCGAGCGTAGAATACTAAACATACCCTACCCTCACCCCGAAGCCACCAATCCTATGGCCCTAGAAAAGTCCCCTGTCTCTGAGGCCCCAGCTGGAACTTCGAGGGGTACGCCGCGGTCCAAGAGCAAGTCGACGCAGGCCAGGTATCTCTCCGGGTTGCCCTTCCTCAGCTTACAGGCGGGGGCCGGCTAAACCCTGAACCTTTGGCTTGAAAAAAAGGGTCCCCCCGAAAGAGTCCCCAATCCCAAGGGTGCAACAGCTTCGAGGCTTTCAAGCCCAAACCCTGAATCCCCAGCCCGACACCTGCCGAGGCTCGGCAAGTTGAGGATGCCAAGGCAGGCAAGGTGCAGAAGGGAGTGTTGCAGGACCTTCTCTGTGACCAAAAACAAAACCTCCCTCCCCCCCCCATCGCCCCTTCCGCAGCATGGTTAGGATTTAGGGTTTAGGAGCTTGGGGGGAGGGGGGGTGGGGCTTAGCGTTTTGAAGGTTTCATGGCTAAGGGAATGAACACCTGAAGTCCCACAAGGGCCCCGTGGCCTCAGTGCGCACCTCCTCGATTCGGTCGGCATACAGCTGAAGGAGCGGCGCCAGCCCCCTCCCAGAAAGCAGGCTTGAGCCCGAAAGCCCTCCCCCCCGTAAAGAAAACCAAACAAAACAAAAAAGACAATGTCTTCTCTCAGCCCCTCCTGTCGTAGCCACCAAAAGCCGCCAGTTCCAGCTCGTGTGGGGTGACTCGGGCACCTTTGGCCACGAGCCACTGGACCATCGGACCCTGGGGCCACCGTCAAATACTCTTCGAAAAGTTCAAAGCGGTTCAAGGGGGTTTACGAAGATAGGGGACCCGCGATATACATCCCCAATAATAGGATTCCAAAATACGAATGAACCCAAGAAGGTACCCCTGATGTCGGAAACCCTCTTTTAGGATCTGGGGCCTTTATCTGGGCTACGGGGATCTGATGAACGTTCCTCAAAAGGCTGCCAAGGCACCCCCAACCCCCACCCTCTACCTGCCCTTCTTGGAAGTCCCGGCCTGGTTCGAGAGTGCTGCATAGACCAGCACCGACCAGCCGAAGGGCGTCTGACAGTGCACATCCGCGCCGTAGCCTTGAGCTTGCAACCACCCCGTGTTGCCAAGAGCCCTGCCGAGGACCCTCGCTTTTTTCGCCCTCAAAACCCCCGGAAGCCCTGAGGGAGCCTGGGAAACCCGGAAAGCTTCGCAGCTGCGCCGGGCTGCTCAGGAGCAATTCAGCGGCTTCGATGCAGCCGCCTTTCGCGGCAAACATGAGGGGAGAGACGCCGACGTCGTCCTCCTTCCGGACTTGCAGGTTTTTCGCGTTGAAGGCTCATAGGGTGGAAGCTTCTAATGCAGAAAGGCTGCCTCATTGGCCCTGGACGGCAGTTCCCTCAGCAAACGCGCCAGCTCCTTCCAAAGCATGCAAACAAGGGCATACAATAGACCTCCTGAATCCCGATACACCCCCTCTACGCCCTGAACTCTAAACACCAAACCCTAAATAACCCTTGAACCCTTCAATGCCCTACAAACCCTAAACAATGCCAGCCTGTGTATCTCCCAGTTCCGCCGCCGCTGCCACAGCCGTCTTGACTCGCTTTGGAAGCTTCCCTCCAAAGGGCTTCAGCAGCTCCTCGTATACCTCATCTTGGAGATGCCAAAGACTATCTGGAAAAAAGTGAACACCAACCCTATAAACCCGCGAGTCCTAACCCCTAAGCCCTGCAAACCCCCAAGTGCCGACTCGAGGCAGCAGCAATGGCCTGAAAGAGCGCGGTGGCCGCGTCGCGCTGCGCCTGCCACGTCAATCAGGGGGTTGGGGACCCCCAAACTCTAAACCCTGGAACCCTCAAACTTAAGCCCGAAAACCTTTTAGAGGGCTTTCCGGACCTTTCACGTGAAAAAAAAAAAACCCTTGAACCATGGAACTTGGAACCCCGGAACCCTATTAGGGGGATATAGCGACTCAAGGCTTCAGGGTACTCCGCCCAGCTTCCCATGGGCACCGGCAGCCTTTGGCAGCTTATCCGGATGGTACTTCAAGGCGAGGCGTAGGTAAGCCTTCCAGGGCTCACTGGCAGGATGCTCCCTACACACCATGCGGCCTTCACCAGCCCCCAAAACGGCACCCCAAACCCCAAACCCCAAACCCCAAACACCAAACCCCAAACCCTAAACCCCAACCCCCCCTAAGACCCTGCCAACGCTGAAGACCCCTCAGTCAGCTGAGCCTTGCGAAGCTGCACATCGTCACATGGCAGGAAGGGCGCAAACAGCGCCCTGGCATCCTTCAGGGTTTAGGGTATAGGGATGTATAGGGTTTAGGGTTCAGGGATTAGGGTTTAGGGTTTCGGGAGGTTTAAGCTGCTTCAGGGACCCAAAGCGAAGCGGAGCACGCCCAAACGCGACCAGAATTCTGCCCTTCGCGAGCGTGCGCACGAGACTGAGGCGGAATCGACGTGCAAGTTTCCTTGGAGCGGACGCACGCGAATCTGTACCAGAGTCCGTGAGACAGATCAAGCACCAAAATGTTCATGAGACTGTGGCGGGAGCATGATTCTGACCATGGAATGCGCTCGGGACCTAGGGGACATTAACTTCGTGATGTCGATTGACTTATCGGGTGTAAACATGTGTAGACGAAGAGGCCATCATGGGTCAATCGATTCGTTTGTCGCCTTGACTCCTTGTGCAGCATCTGTGTGGACGCTGAATGCTTAAACAGTCCGGACTGATGCCGCTGCTGGCAGCTGCCTGAGAAAACCCCCGCTTCAACGGCCCAACTCCCAGACATCCTTTGCCGCTAAATATCGCTAAATTCAAGCTCAGTGGGGCGGTTCGACCCTGCACCCCAAACCTTATAAGCCCTGAAGGCCAAATGCCCGAAAGCCCGGTAATCCCGAAACCGTCCTCCAGTCTGGGCAAGCGTGCTGTGGAGCTCGACGCTTCTACGTGGCGTGATGGCTCGAGCATGCGTGCCGTCACTTCCGCCCATCTGACACTCCCTAAACTCCGGCGCCGTGGCTGGCTCTTGAGCGATACAAGGCGCTGATCTCTGCGGACACTAACCCTCCCATACTCCCTAAACTCCCTCAGCATCCCTAAGCTCAAAAGCACATGCCCCGGATTCTCTTGGGGAACCTAAACCCTAAACCCCAAACCCTAAGCCCTAAAACCTAAACCCTAAACCCTACTCCTTGCGAGGCCAACGATCCGGCACCTCCCCCCTCCCCTCCTCCACCAGATCTTCGATGTTCCAGGGCTTGATCTCGTCCACTGGTAGGTTCTCCGACTTCGATGCCTTCTGGGTGTAGGGTTTAGGGTTTAGGGTTTCGGGTTTCGGGTTTAGGGCTTCAATTTTGCTTCCATCCACTGCCGCTGAACTGAAGTGGCAACCAGATTCCGTGCCTGGGAAGACCTCTCAGATTCACTGGTGTCCTGTGAGGTCAAAGAACACGCTCCACACACACACACACACACACCTACTGAAAGATCAAATCTTACGAAGTGCAAGTCTCTCTGCCACTCAGATCTGCCATGCAGCGGTCCTCGGCATTGCTGCTGCTCGTGCGCATGCCGCCTGAACAAATGCAGGCTTGCGATAGTAACCCGATAGTATTTTGCCGCCCTTGCCCTGCAAGTTGATGTTGGACCCGGTGTCGGCCTGTTTCGTCCTCGTCGGCCTCCCAGTTAGAGCCGGGGAACAAATGCGGACGTCGGACATCGTTCCAGCAAGGCGCGCCTCCCGCACACGCAGGCGCTCCACGCGGGTCTTCTTGACCTTTCGCTTGGGCCTGCAATGAAAGAAGCTTGGGGTTTCTTTCACAGCATAAGATCTTCCCTTGCCTGGCATGGACCTTCGCAGCTTTCGGCGGCTCTTTCTCTTTCGGGGTGGGGGTGGAGCCGAGCAAGCTCCTTGCCGCAAAGGACCCTTGCGATGTCTTGCGATGCTCCAGAGCTCCACGACCCAGAGTCGAAACTCTCTAGAGTCTCTAGAGAGCAGGGAAGAGCAACAACGGCGTCCAGCGTCGCATGGAATTCTTCCAGCTGCCTTGTCATGCCCGCGAAGCAAAGACAATGTTCTGCTGTGCTTAGGCCTGGGACCTGCAGGGATCACTGAGGTCCGAACTTCGCGTCAAGTCCAAATTCCCTGCCGCGGGAACCCAGCGAACAGCAGAAAAAAAGCGGTTTGAGTCGAAAGCCCTGGCCAGCGTGCACCCTGGGGTTACCAGAAAAGAACAAGCCAGTCCCGCCGAAGGACTGCGACCGGCGAAGGTCCTCAGCCAACAACGAGGCCAACGAGACCCCGCATGCCTTTCGGCAGAACCTCTTTAGAGCCCAGTGGCATGGGACAAATCTGCCGACAAAATGCGATGTCGCATCCTCTCCGAAGCCACTCCTAACCCAGCCCCAAAGCCTCGCCAAAATCAACGCGCCTGAAGCGCCCCCCTGCCCTCGACAGTAAGGCTCAGCCGACACCAGGACCCCCATCTCTCAGGGCGCAGCGTTCTTGAAAGAAGCTTCCCGTGCTCGCTCCTGAGGGAAAGGGTGGATCGCAACGAGGTGATGGCAAAAGCTGGGCGCCTGCTCTTCTCTGGCATGCCGCCTCTGCTGTTGTCTTTCCTGGCTGCAGCAAGATCCCTCATGGATGATAGCGTAAGATGGTGCACTCTGGGGCTCTATGTTGGGAGGGTTCTGCAGCTTTTGAAGGGGGTGGGGCGACCCAAGCTGTGCAGCCTCGGAAGAAGGACCCGGGCGCAGCCTGCCAGCGCAGCTCTCTCAAACCCCGCTGGGTCTCATGCTCCGCCTTCCCCACCTCCTCAAGCACGAGCACAGGCATGCGCAGCACGCCCGACAGCGCCGGCAGCAGCCGATCTCAGAAAGGATTTCGAGGCGCAGGGCGGGCTTTGGGGCTTGAGGTGTTGCCGGTAGAGATCCTTAGCAGGAGCCACTGCAGGATAGTCTCGCCAACGATCCAGTACAAGATCTTCAAAGGCATGTATGTCGCCTACTCTGATCGAGGTCACGGCTTTGTTCTGCACGTACCGGCAGCACCGCCAGATGACCAGACCGCAGGCATAGAGCCTGGAAGCTTCCGAGTCCGCATGCACAAAGATCGCCGCCACAGGGCCACAGGGTCACAGGGTAGGTTGGGTTTTTGGCTGGGCTTCTGCCGAGGACACCACCGCTCCGAGTGGCGGCAGGCACAGCCGCAGGCGATAACCAGCAGCATGAGGCCCTGGGGTCATGTTAGGACTTTCAACCGCAGTGGTAATATGAGGAAGATTAGGAACTGTTCAACTATGTTGAAAACCCTTGATGCCTTTCAGCTCTCAACCCACGAGCCCACGAGGCACAGACGAGTATTCCACCGGCAACGATGAGCAAGAGAACGTACACTGGCTCCTCCCAGACCTGGACCAAGTCACTCCAGCTCTCTGGTGTTCTACGGATTGGGATGTTCCTTAAGTAAAAGGGAATCTAGTTACCCCCCTGTCATCCTCCCTACAAGTCTTAAGGACAGCTAGTTTAAGGGGGAACATCCCAATCTCTGGGAGTTCTTTTGGACTTCCATGGGCTTCTATGGGCTGTGTCCGTGACAGTCGGCAAGCTCTGAGGAACGAGCGAGAAGCTCATCGACCACCACGTTGCCATTCTCGTCGCTCCCAAGCTTCAGACGGCAATCCCTTCGCACAAGACTTAGGGTTGAGGGTTGAGGGTTGAGGGTTGAGGGTTGAGGGTTGAGGGTTGAGGGTTGAGGGTTGAGGGTTGAGGGTTGAGGGTTGAGGGTTGAGGGAAAAAAACAAACCAAAACCAACAAAAGCAGAGCACACGAAGTCAATGATCCAACTGCGTCTTGGAGCCGAGCCAAGGTGCAGTTGGGCAGTGAGAAAACTGCCTCGAGACTGGACTTTAGCTGGCGCTAAGTGGCCAACGGCGGATCCCTCATGAAGTTCTCATGAAGTTCTCATGCCGGGTACATCAGCGACATTTCAGCGATGCACTAAGAGCCCTGCTGAATGGCCCCGAAGTTGTCGCAGAAGACCTCCCCACAGACCCAACGCCCCTCCGACTGCCGACCTCGTGCTTCCCAGGGCCCTCCTTGGTTTGGGCGTTGTAGAAGTTGCAGCACGGGGTACCTGACAAAAAAAGTGCACAACGAGCTTGAAAAAACTGTCACTCCCTCATGCCCTGGGACCTGATCCGTAGCCAACACCAAGCCCCAGCGCTTCGACCGAACCATCCTCCGCGGTTCCAAGCTGTGCCATGCAGTGCACTCTCCAACTCAGCGTTTGGATTCACGAAGGCAGTCCTGGGGGATGTAGTTCTCTTGGGCCGCCTTGCCGAATTTTTATGCTCACATGCGACGCGGACGGGCAAAGCAGCTCTTGAAGGACCTACAAGCACGGGGCCTGGTGTGCGAAGTTGCAACACCGGAAGGGGCCGTTCGTTTCGAAAGATTTCAGGCCACCGGACCTCTCACACGGACATCCGGTCAAGCATCTGAATCCGGTGTCATGTTGTAATTAAATACTCCCAGTATAGTTACCTTTTAGCATATGGGGAGTATTTAACATCAGGGGGTAGGGGGCGGGGGGGGGCATGATGTAAACTTCAAGGCCCACGCACCGACTTCGGCAGGGCCCCGGCTCTGACGAAGCAACTGGGGGCGAGAACCTCAAAAGCCATCAGGATTCACAGAAACATGTAGAAACATCGAAAAAAGGCTCCAAATAGCAGGATTCCTTTATAATAAGGACCCCGATAAGGTGCCCCGAACATCGGAAACCCCCACATAAACCCTGAACCCTAAACCCTAAACCCTTAACCCTAAACCCCTCTTTCACCTCACTGCTCAGTGCTTCGCTGGTTGGCGTAGGCGATGCCCTCGCTGTGCCAGGCCGCGATCTGGCGCAAGCCACAGGACAAGAACTAGGATTTAGGGCTTGGGGTTTAGGGTTTAGGGTTTAGGATTGAAACCCCCTAAACCCTGAACCTCTCTTTCGCACAAAAACTAGACCCTTAACTTGTTCTTGTGGGCATTGTTGTTGTTTCTTTGGCCAAATTTCGTGGGCATTGTTCAAATTTGTTGTGGGCATTGTTCAAAACTTCGTGGGCACTGCCTTTTGGTCAAGAACTGCGTGGGCATTGTTCGAAAATTCGTGGGCGTTGTTCAGATTCGCTGGTGGGCATTGCTCAACATCGTTCGTGGGCATTATGCAATTGTTCGTGAGCATTGCGCAACATTGTTCGTGATCGTTGTGCAAAATGCCGTGGGCACTGTTCGTGAGCATTGCGCATTACACGTGGGCATGGAGTTGTGCACATTGGTGGGCACTGTGCAAAACTTCGTGGAAACAATCATCTTGCTGATTTGTCCGCCAGCGAGGACTGGTCCTGGGGTTTAGGGTATAGGGCCTATTACTATGGCCTATTGCCCTTTTTGGGTTTAGGGCCTGTTGGGCCTTAGGCTGTCTGAAGAGGATGCAAGCTGGAATGACAGAGACGGCCCTGGGAGGCAGCCGCCTGGGGGCTTCGAGGTTGAGAGGCCCAAAGACCTAAAGGCATCCCAACTTTGAGATCCAAGTGTGCAAGTGATCCAGATACACAAGCATCCCAAGCGACCAAGTGAATGAGGCGTGTTGAGTGCCAGTGTTTCCAAGTGCTCCAAGTGTCTCGAGTGACCACAAGCGACCCAAAGTGTGTTCCACGGTGGTCCCCACTGTTCAAAGTGACACAAGTGTTCGAGTGGCCCAAGTGACACCAAAGCCCAAAGTGTCACAAATGCCCCGTACACACCACTTGAAGTGACACAAGGGTTCCAAGTGAGCCAGGTGACACGAGTGTCCCAAGTGACCGAGTGAAGTGTCCCCAGTCGCCCAGGCACGCGCATCCTAAGCGTCCCAAGCGACTTACACGTCGCAGGTGACTCAAGTGATCCAAGTAGCCCAAGTGTTCTCAGTTCTCCCAAATATTTCATGACCCCAAGCAATGCAAGTGTCTCATGCTTCAGGCGACCCATGTGACACAACTCATAGGTGGTCGAAGCCACCTTGCACATGTTGCTTTGTAAAACAATAGCAGGCCGTAACTCCATGAGAGTTGTAAGTGGGCGGTCTTGGGGTGGGTAGGTTTGCAGACTAGTGCGCGCTCACGCCCTAAACCTTATAAACCCTCAGCCGACTGCCTGGAGGTTGCAAACGTTTCCCTGCTGGCAGGTCCTGCAACCAAGGTTTGCAGATGCCAAGGAGTGAACCCTAAACCCTAAAGGCTCAAGGTGGGTCCCGTTCGTGAAGTCGGAGAACTGGCAGCTGCCCTTGTCGTAGCCCAAGGTGGCCACAAAGAAACCCTGCACAGAGGGGGCCCTTCAAGATTTCAAAGTTTAGGGTTTAGGGTTTAGGGTTTAGGGTTTAGGGTTTAGGATTCAGAACCTAAACCCTAGACCCGAAGGCCGAAACCGAAGCGTGAATAAGGCAAGCGCTGCTGACACCAGGAGCACCATGACCTGAGACGTGCTGGTTCTTCGTACGGTTTAGGGTTTAGGGTTTAGGGTTTCGGGTTTAGGGTTTAGGGTTTAGGGTTTGGGGTTTGGGGTTTAGGGTTTAGGGTTTAGGGTTTAGGGTTTAGGGTTTAGGGTTTAGGGTTTAGGGTTTAGGGTTTAGGGTTTAGGGTTTAGGGTTAGTTTAGGGTTTTAGGGTTTAGGGTTAGGGGTTAGGGGTTAGGTTTAGGGTTTAGGGTTTAGGGTTTAGGGTTTAGGGTTTAGGGTTTAGGGTTTAGGGTTTAGGGTTTAGGGTTTAGGGTTTAGGGTTTAGGGTACGGGGATTAGGGCGTAGGGCGTATGGCTTAGGGTTTAAGGGTTCCCTTCCAAGAGCTAGTAAGGTATGGAGCTGCAGCAAGGCTCCCACTTTGCAGAAGACCAGGATCTGAATGACCTGGGTTCCACGTTCCGAGGTCCAGAGCACAAAACCCTGAAACTCAAAATTTGCTTAACCTCCTAAAGTCCCATAGGAAGGAAAAGGCATACCTGGGCGGGGCCGTTCTCTCACCGCAGTTTGTAGTTGTGGTCTGTTCTGACGAACACTTCCCAGAACCTGAAATTATGGTTCAGCCTGCGGTTCTGGCCTTTGCAAGGCTGTTTACAGGCACGGGGAAGAGCAGAAACCACCCCCCTATTCCGAGTCCACGGACCCCCAAGTTTGGCACCGAAGATCCCCCCCACAAAAGCGGGCTTGCACCCCCAGAAGGCCCGAGAGACCCCAAAACCAAACCATTAAGCCGAAGATAGCCTGAGGATACCACAAGGCACCAGGTTCGTCGCAAGATGCTCGTGGAGAGTTCTTCCTCAGCTTGAAAGATTTTACAACACAAGGATTTATGGACCTGCCAATGCTTCTGTCTTTCGTACAACCCGAATGTTTGTGCAACGTGTACATGCTTTGTTTTAGACAACATTGTCCTGTACATACTTTGTTTTAGACAACATTGTCCTCAACCAGCCCAGTTGTCCCTCCTATGCCCTACTCCCCTGAACTGGCCCTGATTCCGGAGAACCTGCCCCATGCATTACATATTACATAATCTTTGCTATATCTGTATATATATATATGTATAAAAAGAAGCAGCAGAAGAAGAACAGAAATAATAAGAATAGGAATAAGCATAAGATATATGCATTAACATCCCACTTTTTTGGCTGGAATGGGTTTCCCCCCGCCCTTCCCAGCCGACGGCGACGGCGCGCCAGGAGCACGGGGCCCCCCTCTCCACCCCTCCTTGCCCCGCCCTGCTGTCACTACCCCTTTCTCCCTCCACTCCTCTTGTTGTGGGGTGGTTCCTGACGTCCGTCGAAACCGCGACTTGGCTGCTCCATCTGTAAGCCTGGTTCGCCCTGCGTGCGATGTCGAAAACAAGCACCTCGCCGCTGCGCAGGCCCCGGCCGAGGCGGGCCGCGCAGCGTTTCAAATCCTCGCGTCTTCCTTCCACCGCTTTGACTCCCGAAGCTGGGGCTCCCTGCGATCTGCGGCCGCCCCTCCTGCCAAGGTTGGGATGGCTTTGGGGAGGTTGAACTTTAGGGCCAGGGTTTAAGTTTTCGGGTTTAGGTTTAGGGTTTAGAGTTTAGGGTTTAGGGTTTAGGGGGGATGGTTTAGGGTCGAGGACCTCGGACGGTTTGAGGGTGTAGGGTTTTAGGGAGGGTGAGGGGTACGGCGGGGGGGGGGGGAGGGGTAGGGGGGTAGGGTTTACGGGGGGGGTTAGGATGGTTGTATCAAAAGCTTCGAGATTGCTTGCTAAGGACTCGGGACTTCGGGCCTCAATCAGCTCCACAATCTGCTGAACCATCTCCTCCGTAAAACCGCAGTCCCTGGCAATGGAAGCAACATGACACGATGGGGCCCCCGTCTGCCTTCAAGGCTCTCTGCAGCGCCTGAAGAACATCTGGAGCTCATCTTGTGGAATGCTTTGGATGGCCTGCACGGGCGCGATCCAGCAAGCTGGGAATTCAAGCAGCCCTCCGCGCAAAGACAAGCTCACGTCACTTCAGCCGCGGACTCGCAGAATGCGCAGGTCTTGCGCGGTCTCCTCGATCTCGAGCCTGCACAACTCTGCACAACTCTGCTGCGCCTCTGATAGTGCCACCATCACTGGACCCAAAATTCCCCAAGTGCCCGGCGCGATCAAGCAGGTCTTGCTCGAGCGAATGACCTTGCCACGACGGGCGCTCCAGCTTGCAAGACCATCCTCAAGCCGGTCGTTGCCTTCAGAAGGTGCTGGACAGGACCTGGGTGCGGGTGCATTTACCCGCACTTTTTACGTAAACTCAATCCAGCCAAAACAGCAGTTCTTGACATTGAACAGATCATCTCTTGCGAGGTGTTGCCGGGGCATTCCGCATCTGTTCATGTCTACATCCCTGGGCGTCCGGCTCCTCCTCTTCGGCTTTCTTTCCTTAACCGGCTCCTTGGGGACAAGGGTGGCGTTCGCAGCCAAGTGTGATCCGAGCAGTGCCACACTGCATCGCCCTTGCTGTTTCTTCATGTGTTGCAAGTATTCTCAAGCCACACAGGATACACACAGTAGAGTTTTTGCGTTCACATTCCACAATTTTTGTCAGCGTGAATGAGATTTCTGCTTGACTTAACCTACCCCTTGTATGATTTTACACACACATGCGCACACACACACACACTGACACTGACACTGACACTGACACTGACACTGACACTGACACTGACACTGACACTGACACTGACACTGACACTGACACTGACACTGACACTGACTGAGAAGTAAAAACCAACAGCAACGACAGATATGCTTATCTTGCTACTAGCCTGCAACGTAACCAACCAAAGACCGAATCTTTTGGAAGCTCTTGCATCTCAACCACTGTTTCGTCAATGTCCAGAATATCGGACTCATCCATTCTTTCCCTACAACTGATGCCCTTGGGCCTCCCTCCCTAAACCCTAAAACTAGACCCTATACCCTAAACTGCCGAGAGCTCCGCTGTCCATCTGCATGGACGCTCGAGGCTTCGATACGATCGAGACCCCGAAGCAAGAAAGCCCCCTTTCAAAAGGGTTTTGGGGGGGGGGAACCCTAAACCCTAAATGAGTGTAGTTTGGGTGGTTGGGGTGGGATTACATGCTAACGCAAGCGAGCAGCCCGGGTGCTTTTAGCACCAGCGAGCTTCCCTTCACACCCTAAACCCTAAACCAGAAACCCTAAACCCTCAACCCTGAACCCTAGACCCTAAACCCCCTGGGCATGCGCAAAGAAGTCGATGTTGGGGCGCCCGCACTGCCGCCAACGACTTTCGGGGCCCTCGGGGCCTTCCGCCGCGGCGGCGCCTGGCACAAGAGCTTCGGGGTGTACTTGGAGGTTCAATATGGGTAATTATATGGGTAATTACAAGCAGGGTTATAGGGTTTAGGGTTTAAGGTTTCGAGTTTCGGGTTTCGGGTTTAGGGTTTAGGGTTTAGGGTTTAGGGTTTAGGTTTAGGGTTTAGGGTTAAAGGTTCAGGGTTTTGGGCCTGTGGTTTACTTGCAGGTTCATGAGGGTACTTAGAAGTAGAGTTAGACATACCCTAAATAGGGATACAAGTATAGTTGCAATGCTTATAGCCCAACTTACGATTCCCCGTGAACCTTTAAGTGAGGATGCGTGAAAACCCCCCTATCCCGGAAGAAATCCCTGAATTACGCTATCGTTCTTGTTTACTCTTATCGTTTTCTCGAGTTTTGGCTTTAATCTGAACGTTGTCTTTCTTTTTTTACCCTTATCGTTTTATCGAGTGGGGTTCATGGTTTGGGGTTTAGGCGGTTCCAGGGTTCAGGGTTTCCGCACTTTGGGACTTCTTTAGGCTTTAGGGGTTTTGAGGTTGGTGTTTGGGACTTTGAAGAGCCTGGGGTCTTGAGCATCTAGAGCTTTAGGGCTTTGGGTTTGCAGCGTTCAAGGGCTCAGGGTTGAAATCCGTCGACAACCGGGCCACCCAAAACAAGGGTGGAGCACCCGGGTGAATTGTAGACATTGTCAAACAACATTCCTCAACCCTGCTTCAAAATCAAGGGACCAATTTCCGAGGTGGCGAGAAACATATTCGTGCTAACTTGCCGAGGGCATGTCTTGGGACTTCCTCCGACCACGCAAAAACCCTCACCGAACGCCTAAACCCCCTAAACGCCTAATCCTCGAAACCCCCGCAACACCCGAAACGAAAACCCCTGAACGCCTGATAACAGAACCCATGCGGAGAGACCTTGGGCTGCTCAGGCTCCACCTCCTCTTCCGAGAAGTAGTCCTTGCGGGAGGGTCTGCCCTGTGGCAGCTGGGCGAAGGTCTGCCATGGAGAGCTTGGGCAAAGCGAGTTTGGGGAGGCGTTTAAGGGGAGTTTTGGGGTTGGGGACCTGGGGGCTTCAGGGCTGCGGCTAAGGGATTGTGGCGTCTCCTGTCGCCAGAGCCCAGACTTCCCAGCTTTTGGAAGGCATCTGTCGGCTGCTCTCTGCTGACTGGTCGTTTGGCCCAACACGACAATTGCCGCGCACAGCAGGTGGCGGAGCGCTTCTAAAACGCGAGCCTAGACCTTGCCAAGCACCCGGGATGTTCGTGAGACAGACCTCCTCGCCTTTGGCGAGGAGGTCTGGAGAGCAAGAGTACGCGAAGTCCATACCAGACTCTTACCATCTCTTACCTCTGCACCGCAATGGGCCCTCAGGCCTCCGCAGCCGTACACATTCAAGGATCTTAGCAGCCCCTTTCGTGCACCATGCTCCCAGAAACCTGGCGCGCTTGGGAAAAATGCAGCAACGGCTCAGCCGGTAGTAGCTGTCGTAGCTGGTTCGCAGCATCTTGCTAATTGAACGGAGACTTGTGCTTTGAGTCTCCAAGCAACGAGGCTTGCACTCATGTTCTTACACGTAGTTCATGTCGAGAAAGCATGGTCTGCTTGTATATCTATTGAACAGCTCCGCGGCACCAAACAACAATACCCAGCTTTGCAAGGAAGCTGCCACTGCAGCAGCGAAAGCATCTCTCACTCAAACCCTTTCTGCCTCACTGCAGCGAAACGGGTGAAGCGACGCTGTACTGCATTTCGATGTATTCACGCTATTCACGTGCAAGAGCTGTAAGACCAGGACGCTCGGCACCGCTGACGCTATGAGCCGTCACTTGGCCTGATGGCAAAAGAGCTTGCAAGGCATCACATCATCCAGATACGAAAGGTCCAATTCCAAGCTGCCTCCGTGGGCATCGATCCGAAGGTTGTTCGGCTTGTAGCTGCCTAGACGTGCTCACGGGTTGCGAAAATGTTCTAAACCCTAAACCCTGAACCCTAAACCCTAAACCCTAAACCCTGAATCACTTCAAGGAGCTCTTGCAGGTTTGTCATCGCTGGACGCTCCCCCCTGTGTGATCTTCCTTGGCCAGCACGAAACATGCGGCGAACCTCCAGGAAGACGTGACGGCTGGGCCCGGAACTTCACTGTTTTCTGGTACATCTTGAAGAGGCGCTGGCACCTGTCAGCCTCAACACACAGGTCTCTTGTGGGCTCTCTCTTGGCGGAGTCCCAAATGTGTGTACAAGCTGTTCGGCTTGCGCTTCAGGGCTGTGGTGAGCCTGCTTCGGAACTTGTGTTATGTTCTGTCAGTTCCGTCTGTACGTGCCGGTACTAAGTATTGATTGAAAAGCGTGCGTGCGCGCGTGGGTGTGGGCATGGGCGCGGGCATGGGCGTGGGTGTGGGCGCGTGGGCGCCTGGGCGCCTTGGCGCGTGGGCGCGTGTGTGGGCGCGTGGGCGTGTTTTGGCGTGGGCGTGGGCGTGGGCGTGGGGCGTGGGCATGTGGGCGTGGGCGTGGGCGTGGGCGCGTGGGCGCGGGCGGCGTGGGCGTGGGCGTAAGCATGGGCGTGGGTGTGGGTGTGGGCGTGCACATGTTTGAAGCTTCGTTTGCGCCTGTATGCTCAACGTGTTCCACGACCATCACGAGATTTATGCGACCACGTTCTGTTTTCTCTCTATGATCAGAGAACATCGGACCATTAGAGATGGTGGTTGGAAGTCTGTCCGGGTCACGCTTATTGCTTTCCCTCCTCTTCCTCTGTTGTACTGTTCGGAAATATTACACAAGTAGCTTGAATATATTATGTACATATATACTTACTTATATTAATATGAGATTACACAACAGTATCTTAGGGGCCCGCCTCCGTCAACTCTTCGTCTTCCGGCGGGAAGGGGTTTTTCGGATTCCCACCAAGTCGCCGGATGGTGTCCACCTTGGCGGGGCTTCCAAACTTGGAAGAAAACCCCCAAAGTCCGTGTCACAAGTCGCCAGCATTCGTGGGATGGAGGTTTCCGGGCTCCAGGACCTGTCTGGGAAAAGAAGGCACCGTCCAGAGCAAAACAAAAGCCGCTCAAGGGGTCATGGGAGCCTGAATGCCCCCGGCCGGACCGACGTCACCCTCACCGAACTCCACTGGATCATCCAGCCGCAAATTCCTCAGCACCAGCCGTCAGGTTTGTCCCTTTCCGAACACGAGGGGCTCCGTTTGAGAAGGGTCCTTTCGGGGAAACTCTGTTTGGGTAGAGCGGGGAACCGCAATTGTGTAAACCTCTCCTTCCACCCACCCAACCCCCCCTCCACTCCCAACCCACCCCCCCTACCCCCCCACCCCCAGAAAACAAATACAACTAATGGCAATAAGAAATCATTCGAAGACCATTCTTAACATTTTCTCATCACGGTGATTGTAAACACAGTTGTAATATGTAGTAATAAGAAAGGGGGGGTAGGGTTGAGGGGGCCCTACGTCAAGAACCCCCCTCTCATGGCGAACTATCCCAGATCCTAACGTGTTGACTGTGTAAACCCCTGCAAACTCGGGCACAAAGTGAACACTAAACCCTAGACTCTAGACCCTTTTACACCCTAAACCCTAAACGCTAAACCCTAAACCCTAAACCTTAAACCCTAAACCCTAAACCCTAAACCCTAAACCCTAAAACCCTAAACCCTAAACCCTACCACCTTCCCTGAGGCCAGGCACAGGATGAAGCCCTGGAAGGACCCGGAAGGAATCACCTCCATGGCCTGGCGAAACTGGAGGCTTCAGGTTTTCAAGGTTTCGGGCCTTTAGGGTTTTTAGGGGTCTAGGGTTTTGGGGTTCTAGGGTTTTGGGGTTCTAGGGGCTTTGGGTTTTAGGGTCTTAGGGTTTAATGGACCTATCTTCGGTTTCTAGGGTCTCAGGGTTCTACGGCTTTAGTTCAGGGTAGATCCCGGGTTGGAGGCTTAAAAGGATCCAGTGGCTTTGGTCCTCAGGGCAGCCCAAGACCCTAAGCATGCGCAAACTTCAAGAAAAGAGGCCTCCATAAACCCAAAACCCTTGACCCCAGAGCCTCGCAAACCTTGTGCATCCGACCTTGGCTGTCAGGAGGAATCTGCCTTCCCAAAGTCCAGAAGCTTGAGGACGGGCTTTGTGGGGACGCGGTTTTGGCTTGGGTGCTTTAGGGCGTTTAGAGGTTTGCATGCCGAGGAGGCCACGCAAGCGCGCGTAGCCGACCATGCTCACAGAGATCTGCTTGTAGCAGCCTCCAGACAATCCCGCAATCCCGCATTCCACGTGTGCAACCCACATTCTATCTGTTTTACTGCTGCGGCGAGGGGCAGGTGAGTTGCGCAATGAGGACGTTCATCAGCAGAAACACAACCTTCGAAGTTGCTCGACATTTGACGGTACCCCCGAACTAAGGATTGTGCTCACACAAAAGGGTTGATAAATGTCGATAGTGTAGATCAACCCTCCGCGTACGAAGGCGCACGCCGAGTGGCCAAGACTCGAAAGCAGCTCGCCGCCGCAAATAGCATGATGTTGTCCTGACGACATCGGGGGAGGGGGGGGTGGGGTGGGGGGGTCGGGTCGTTCCCAACTCGGGCCCCTTCTGAGCCTTGATACACAAAGCCCAAAACAAGATGCTTCAGAAGAGCCCTAAACCCTAAACCCGAAACCGAAACCCTAAACCCTAAACCCTAAACCCGAGACCCTAAACTACTTCCTAAACCCTAAGCCCTAAACCATAAACCCTAGACCCTAAGCCCTAAATCCTAGACCACACCATCCTCCAGCTGCTCCAGGTGCGAGGCCGGGAACATGTTGACCTCAAGGGGATCGGGTCTTTTTTCAAGCCCCCTTCCGGTTTACGGTTTAGGGTTTAGGGTTTAGGGTTTAGGGTTTAGGGTTTAGGGTTTAGGGTTTAGGGTTTCGGGTTTCGGGTTTAGGGTTTAGGGTTTAGGGATTAGGGATTAGGGTTTAGGGTTTCGGGTTTAGGGTTTAGGGACTAGGGATTAGGGTTTTAGGCTTCGGGTTGCAGACTTGACATGGAAATCTAAGAGCCCGGCCGCCAGCTGCAGGAAGCTCATGACGGAGTTCCCAATGCCTTGAAAGTCCTGCGCCGTGTGAGCTCAGGACCCAAAGGGGGGGGGTTTAGCGTTCAGGGCTTAGGGTCGAGGTTCTAGGGCTTAGGGTTTCGGGTTTAGGGTTTAGGGTTTAGGGTTTAGGGTTTAGGGTTTAGGGTTTAGGGTTTAGGGTTTAGGGTTCAGGCTTTGGTTTTAGGGACCTTTGCGGCTTGGGGTTTTGGAGCCTTTGGGGCTCAAGAGGAGCGTCGGTCTCAGGACCGCCAAAAACAGCCCTGAAGAACCCAAAGAACCCTAAGAGCCCTAACCCTAAACCCTAAACCCTGAGCCCTAAACCCTAAACCCTAAACCCTGAACCCTAAACCCTGAGCCCTGAGCCCTTAGCCCTAAACCCTACACCCTAAACCCTTAAGTCGCGCCTCCGGCTGCCCGACACATGCCGCCACGCTGCTGCCAAACGTCCTCAGCTTCACGGAGCTGCGCTCGTTTGCGATGAACGGCTGGGTTTGAGGGCTTTAGGGCTTAGGGCTTAGGGCTTAGGGTTCAGGGTTCAGGGTTTAGGGTTTAGGGTTTAGGGTTTCGGGTTTAAGATTTAGGGTTTAGGGCTTAGGGTTTCGGGCTTAGGGCTTAGGGTTGGGATGTTCCCCATTGTACTAGCAGTCCGTACTAGGGAATTTCGTACCCCCTAATAATTCCCATTCAGGACTGCTAGTATAAGGGGGATCATCCCAAGCTTAGGGTTCCCAGGGTTCTTAGGGATTTAGGGTTTGGGGCTTTTGGATTTAGGTGTAGGGTTAGGGTGGTCTTAGATAGAAAGACTACAGTATGAGGCAGAAGACTGGTACTTACTCATAATAGTGGTGAACACGAACAGCAGCAAGAGTGACAGCGATGATGGCAATGTCTGCATCATCAGAGAAGCCATGGCAGCCTGAGAAAAACCTACGCATACCGGAGACATGTGAAGCGTTAGTAGTAGAAGTGACAAATAAACAAAAAGGCCACAAAAGAAGAAGGCCAATTGCAATAATGTTTGTTTCCGCTAGCATAAGACGAGTCATCATGTTGATGCAAGCAAAACGAAAACAACAAGAGTTAAAACACATCAGAATCATAATACCAACAAGAAAAGAAATTCTTTGGTACTGCCAAAGAATGACCACTCCACGTGTACATACATATATATATATATATATATGTAAGTATATATATATATATATGCGTGTGTTGTTCGAAACTCTTCTCGACCTAGTAGATGAATAATAACAATACAAAGTTGACAAGGACATGCAGAATAACCATAAAAACAGTAAGTGCCATAAGAATAGCAGTGATCCCAGCCATACAAAAAAATCGTACGAACAAAGGACGATGAACAGATGCTGCAGCGACTTGCCTCTAGCGTTAGGAAAGTCTAGGGCAGGATCTTTGGGTTTGAGGGTTCAGCGTTTGAAGGGTTTATAGCCCTTGAGATCCGTTTCCTGAGTCCGGTACAGCACCAGGAATCCACAGGCGAGCAGTGCCCGTCCCTCAGCATGGTCCGGGGTTTAAGGGCCTGGGGTTTCGGGGCTTGGCTTGGTTTGGGGGGTTTGGGGGCTTTGGGGACTTTGGGGGGTTTGGGGACTTGGAGGTTCAGGGCTGCAGGGTTTCAGGGTTTAGGGTTTAGGACGGTTTAGGGTGGTTTGGGTGGTTTGGGTGGTTTGGGGCTTTAGGGGTCGTAGCCTTGGCACTCCATCCAAGTGGCAAGGTCGGGCAGGACATGGCCAGCAACCAGCAGCCAGGATGAGAGCCTGCAAGCAACCAAGTCTCCTTTACTACGAATCGCTTTAGAAAATAACAATATTCTTCCGTATAAAGGTAATTTGTGAATATTATCTTATTTTTTGGGGTTCTTCAGCAAATAGTAGTTTAGCTAGACGCTCGCGCCCCCCAAACCTTTGCCTGGTCGAGACTGTCGCTGCGTCCGCGGCCAACGCAAATATCAGCATGATGGCCTGAGGTCGGACATGGGACCCTGACTGATCTCTCAGCCCCCGGTTGCGCTGCACGATGGCGGCCCAGGCCCAGGCGATCATGGATAGAATCTCATAGAGCCCTCGTGCGTCGTTGGCCTCCCGGGCGCCAGCTTGAAAGGGGAGGGCAAAAGTCAGCTCGCGGGATGTCACAGGGCACAACTGGGGGCCTGTGAGCAATTCTGCGTGAAGATGCCCAGACCCTCCGTGTGCTGCAAGCAGGCAAGGATGGGTTCCTGGGTCACAGAAGCATCCCGCCAAGGAACAGCCGGGATCTCAAAAGGAAAAAAAACTTTGCAAGGGTGGACTAAGGCGGCTGCCAAGAAAAACATGACGACCAGCGATATGGTCAACGCGAGGCTGACCTCATGTCACTTCCCTTTTCCCCCTAGTTCTTAGTAGGGAACGAGGTAATTAGGGCCCTATACCCTTTAAATCCCTTTAAGGGATTATAGAGGGTACCTCATTCAATCATTCCCTGCTAAGAACCAGCTTTTGCATCATCGCTCCCAACACGGCCTGACACGAAAGTCCGAGCACCCGGCACCCTCCTGCCAGTCGTCAATCCACTTCCTCCGCGCAACTCTAAACCCTAAACCCTAAACTTCCCTGAGACCCTAAACTCTAAACCCTACACCCTACACCCTAAACTGGTCCTAAACCCTGAACCGCTTCGGGTTGATAAAATCGGCGCGTCTCGAAGACCGGCCTCGGCATTTTCATGCCGCCGAAGATCAGGAGCTCTTCATGCTTCACAGCCTCTTTCCGCGGTTTTGGGTTTAGAGTTTAGGGTTTAGGGTTTGGGGTTTGGGGTTTAGGGTTTCGGGTGTACGGTTTAGGATTTACGGGGGAGGTGCCTGATAGACATGCTTCGTGCGGAAGTAGATCAGCGAGACCATGAAGTAGAGGTAAATGACCAGCCTGCGAGAAAACATAGAAAACCATGTGAGAGAGGACGAAGGCGGCAAGCTCAAGAAGCAATACCCTGACTAAACCCTAAACCCTAAACCCATCGGCCTGCAGCAAAATGTGGCAACCCTCTCCTCAAAGGAGCCTGCAAGGGACGATGTTCATGGTGCAGCTTTGGGATGTGCCCCGTTATACTAAGGGTTTAGGGTTTAGGGTTTCGGGTTTAGGGTTTCGGGTTTCGGGTTTCGGATTTAGGGTTTAGGGTTTAGGGTTTCGGGTTTAGGGTTTAGGGTTTAGGGTTTAGGGTGCAGCCCTCAATAGGGATGGTAATACCCCTTATTATCTCCATGAAGGACTGTTAGTATATGGCGGAGCTGGGGGTCTACGAATATTAGGGGTACCTTCTTGGGGTCCTTGCTATAAAGGGATCCTACAATCTGGGGGTCTATACAGGGGTCGCTTATTATCGTAAATCCCCACAGGTAGCAATCCGAATTGTTCACCACCAGGCCTGCAGTGTCAATGTACTGGAGCACTGATTGGCTGAGCATGATGATCACAGCAGTGCAGACGAGGGATGCTTTCCCTGACAGCCCGTAGCTTGCCACAACTAGGCTTAGGGTGCACACCCCAAAGCAACTAGCAACTGATCCATCATGCTGGTAAAACCCAGGTACCTGCACAAAGTCTCAAAACAAGCCTATCATTACAAGCATAAGCATAGCCGCAGCAGAAAAACATGACATGGTGATGATCACATAAACGTTCACTGCTTCATCTGATGACATGAGTTGGGCACGGTTCTCCCCAGTGCCTCGGAGGAACCGCCAGTACACCAGATCATTCCTTAGTGGATAAGTTCGGGTACTATCGTTTGCTTCCACTGATATAACCAGTATCGGACCTGTTCTGATTTTCTCGTGGCTGTAAAAATTTCAATATATCTTCGACTGAAAACGATGAAGGCTACCATCTCCCCGCCCACCCTTCTCCACGGCTTTTCTGGCAAAGCTTCCAAACGAGGTCGCCCAGCTCAACAAGGATGGGATGATCTGCAATATGGGGATCCCCCAGCTTGACGATGCAACTCATCGCCTGTCCCACGGGAAGCTTCGGAGTTTCGTGTTCTAGGCAGGCTGGGGCAATGAGAGAGCCCAGCGACTTGGGCTTAGGGCTGAGGAGCTCTGAGACAAGGAGCATTGGAGAACTTGCCAAACTCATCCTTGGCTCCCAGTGGACCGCACACGGCACAAATCCACAAGCTGCGCAGATGCGAACCTAGAACCCGACGCAAACCCAGAGCAATATAACACCCAAACCCCGAAGCCCTAAACCCTAAACCCTAAACCCTAAGCCCTGAACCCGAAGAGCATCATGCCAGGCTTCGACCAGCAGGTGCTTCAAGTAGTAGTTCACCCGTCTGTTGCCGTTCACCACAACTCGAGACCTGCAGGGCTCCGAAGGTTGGGATTTGCGGGTTTGCTGGTTTTGGGTTTGCAAGAGAGGTTCGTGGCTTGGGGTTGGGGATTTTTTTAACATGGGCTCGGAAGTTCATGAAGTTCATGAACGCTTGTGAGTCCAGCCTCCAAACCATGCCATCCAGCATGGTCATGAGAAGCTCCTGTGGATTGCGCATAAGCAAAGTAGACAAAGTGCCACACCAAGGCCACGAGAGGAATGTCCGTGAGCAGATGGCTTCGGATTTAAGCAGACATGGTTTTATGGACCAGCCTCATGGGAGTGGCATTTTTCGTACTGTTCTAAAATACTTCATCAGTCCAACCAGGGTTTACAAGAAGGACCACCACCATGCGTTTCTCACAAAGCCACATGTCATCAGTCGAGGGAGCAGCTTGCACGTGAGCGCCCCAGCAAGGTTTTTGGCCATTTGTGTGAGCTGGGAGTTGGGTGGGTGTGTGTGGACACAAGTCTACACAATCCTAAGGCGTCATTCTCCAGCAGGGGGGGTGGCAGGATTTTCAAAAAATCGACATGAACGTTCTTCGAAAGCCGAACAAAACAGGCATAGCCAGTACAGAAACAACTTGTATAGCCTGGATCTAGTTGCTTTGGGGAACGAATTTGAGGTATTCCGACGGACATGTTGTCGTGTTGGGTTCTTTCCTGCTACATGTTGTGGTGTCCCTAGAAAAAAAATCGATTCAGAAATGTGTGCTCTGGATGTTGACAACTTATCCGCAGCAGTTCATGTGGGGAGGGTGGTCTTGGGGGGATACCATTTTGTGTATGCATGGACATACATACACATGCTTCAATATACTTACACGCTATGCGTTACCATCATGCGCCGCATGAACCTTCTCAGCTCTATCAGGGGTAGATGATCTGCAGCCAGCGCACGCAGGAAGAGATCGAGGACGCCGACACTGCGGCCGATCCAGCCAGAAACCCAGGTGGGGGCTTCCTGACATGGTGACCACATGGGCACGATGTCGTGGCGGCAGGCCACTGGGCCGTTTGTACTGTCACACCAGATCCACACCCTGCATGGGGGCAGGGAAGGCAGGCCCCGTGGCTGCGAGGAAGCTTTTCCTCACAGCCCCCACACATGGGCCGAGGGAGACACTGGCATCGGACAATCCAGCCCACACCCCACGACAACAGCTTTGCAAGAAGGCGCAGGTAGTGCTTGCCATCGCCACGGAGCAGGGAACCAGGCCACAGAAATCGTTCAGCAGCAGCAACGGCCGATCCGACAGCCGATAGCCAGAAAAACGACCCAAGAAAAGTAGATCCCTGAGATCCGTGAGCACTACGGGCTTCATGAACCCAAAGAGCCTGAGAGCCCAGACAAATATGAAGTTTTGGTCCCCCTTAGGGCCCCAAAAGCCCTCTCCCACCTCCCTCGCACACCCTCCCCTTCGGGGTCCGGAGCATCAGCAGTGAGCTTCTTGACGATGTCGGGATGCCATTTGAACAAGTCGTCCAGGCCGTAGTAGTACCTGACGAGTCGTCGCTCGGAATCTGTGATCTGAGTATCATGCTCAGTTGATTCGGTCATGCGACAGGAGTGGTCAGAAATGTCACTAAACCGGCTGCCTGGCGCGATCGGCCCGAATTGTGACGAGATCCTTTAGCATCACCTGCATGTCGGCGTCTGGCTCAGAAACAGCTTCCACGGTGCTCAGAGTTTGCGTTTTCAGTAGGCGGCTACTGCAGGGCTCCCTTGAATCCTCCCCGCCTTGGCAGCCTCCAGATTGCCCGTGTCGATGGACATGTAGAGAGGTGATACGGACTGGGTCCCCACCTGTGTTTCGGGACCGCCGAGGGGGGTTCGTACGATTCTGGGCCTTACCCGACTTCGTTTTTCACCTTCTTGCTCAGGCCAGGCTGCGGTTACATCCAGCACCCACGTCGCTCGGATCCCACGCGGGGCATAGGACAAAGCGCGTCTGACCTGGAGTCGGGCTTTAGGGCTTCAGGTTCAAGTTAAGGAGCGTTTAGGGCCAAGTCTAGGAATTGGGGGGGGAAGAACCCTAAACCCTAAACCCTCTTCTTGTTTACGCCCATAAAGGGCGGGGGCTGCGCTTCGAGCCAAGCCTGCTTGGCGTTGTTGGTGTTGATGGCCTTCATGACAAGTGTCGCACCCTGCTCGATGGTCCTTGCGGAGATGCACACAATCCGTTAGGGTTGTGGCTCCAGCATTGGGGTCTAGGGCTGGGGGTCTCTGGGTTTCGGAGTGTGCTGCCGGCTGCCTTACCAGGAGCTTCGCCACGAGGCTGAACGACCACCGGAAAGCGTCTGCCACATCGTCATCGCCTAGAAAAGCCCCGAGGGTTTTTATAAAAACCCTCCTTGCAAAGAGGGTTGTTTATAAAAAAGCCCTCCTAGCAGCCCCGAAGTTGCAGACACCGCGCACAGTTCCCCATCTTCGCTCAACCTTGAATCGCAGAAACTGATTGCGCCCCAAGGTTCCGGTCAACTCCTGGAAGACCTGCGTCCAGCCTTGCACAGAGGAATGGTGGAAGTGCACCCGGTGGCAACCCTAAACCCTAAACCCTAAACCCTGAACCCTAAACCCTAAACCCTAAACCCTAAACCCCTACACCCTAAACCCTAAACCCTAAACCCTAAACCCTGGGGCCCCCCATCCTTCCACGAAGGGATCGAAGAAGTCCGCCGTGACCCCGTACCCAACGTGCCGCAAGCCAAGGGCGGAGATGGCGTCCACAGTGTTGATGGGGTCCTTAAAACCCTAAACCCTAAACCCTAAACCCTAAACCCTAAACCCTAAACCTTAAGGAGCAGATCTCTGCATCCACATACAAACCTACAGAAACAGTACTGCTTCGATGCGAACTGCAAGTTTGCCTTCGCCAGCACCGCAGATGACTCAAGCAGAGCTGCTTTGCAAGCAAGAGCCCCTAAACCCTAAACCCTAAACCCTAAACCCTAAGCACTTTGCTGCGGCACAGGCGCCTTGTACAACTGGAGGGTGAGGTCGATGGCTTTGTCGGCAATGAAGTTCAATCCTGCTGGTCCAGAAGATCCTAGAAGCCCCCAAGCAACGATGGCATGAATCATATCAATACTATGAAGACTATTCATAACAAGAATATAAGTAGTATCAGTAGTACTCGGAATATTAGTAATAATAATAGCAGTAATATGAATCATACGATTAGAGAGAGCTGAGCCCTGCAAGACAAGCAGCTCGTAGCCGACTGCTTGAAGTGCTCTTCGCCACCCGGGGCCAACTCGAAGAAACGGTCAAAGACCTGGGGAGGTCACAAGGAGCCAGGGTTTAGGGTTTAGGGTTTAGGGTTTAGGGTTTAGGGTTTAGGGTTTAGGGTTTAGGGTTTAGGGCTCAGGGTACTCCTGCGTCCTAGAGGCCTTTTCACGGATTTCTTGGCGCAACTCGTCCTCCAAAGATCCTGCTGTTCGTGGGCACACTGCTCTGGGGGGGGCATGAAGCTGACCATGACTGACACTGTGACTCTGTGTCTAGCTCACGTCTTGAGCCATAGCTTGAATCAGCTACTGACTCTTCCAATTTTCCAAACCATACCAAACCCCTGCCTGAAGTTCACCACAGATTCTGACACCTTGGCCCTAAACCTGGAAAGCGGACTCCTAGGAATCTGCCCAGGATGCGCTCCCGAGCACGAGGCTTCTTGAGCTCCTGCCACAGGGTGGTTTACTTTCGAGTTCTCAAAAGAAGGCAATTGGGGCAACTTAGGTATCTCTCATATCCATCGAGGGGCTCTACATATATATATATATATGTATATATATATATATATTACCGAAGTCCCCCGAACTCCCTGCGACGAGCTACGCCTGCCCCGGAGAGCTTCTCAAAGTTTTGGGTAATATTTCATAGAAGTACTTTTCGCTTTGACCGTAGATTCTCTCATGTCTCTTCATTCCCACTTCCACCAAGACAGTCCATTGCTCTCACGCCCCTCGGCCATCGAACAAGATCCCATACAGGAGGAACAGAAGACGATGTGATTCTCAGGGCCGTTCGAAGAAGGCAGGCAATCCGATGCGGTAAAGTTGGGGTCCTTTTGGAGTATCCTGGACATGTAAAAGTACTGCTCCATACAACTACTCTGATTTCGAGCACCTCTACGCGGCAAAATCGGGCGAGCTTAAGGATCAGGGCTTAGGGGTTCCAGGCTTGGGACTGAAGGTCCACGTGGGGGGGGGGGGGGCTTGTGCCTTCTGGTTGATGAGGTTCGAAGACTGCCAGGTGTCCAGCCCCCCCCCCCTCCTTGCTCAAGAGCCGCTCCACTGTTTCCCAGAGCCAGTTCCAAGCCACTTCGTGGTCGGGGTTCCAGCCCTGCGCGTGATGGCTCATGGCTGAATGGGGCTTCTTCGCACACTTCGGGCCCTTCCGGGGGGCTAGGTAGTCTTGGGACAGCAGGGAAAGCTTGGCGATGCTCCCTCACATGCCTTTTTTGGGGTCCTCACTAAAAGGGAATCCCCTGCTATTTGGGGGGGGGGGGGTTCCATTCAAGGGCGCACCTCATCTTCGTAAACCCCCCCATAGGGCCTTCGGTGCCAGAGCTCGGAGGGATGACAGCATCACAGCCTCGGCGTCCAAAGACCCCAGGCAGAAAGACGTCTGAATCTCACAAGATCCTAACCCTAAACCCTAAACCCTAAACGCAGCAAGAACACGGGTGAGAAGACCCGGAGGCCCGGCTAACTCAGGCGTATGCCTCTAGGATCCTAAGCAAAAATAAGGCAGGTTCTTTCGACGAGAGGTTTACCTGGGCCCTCTGGTTTATTTTTGTTTGCGGGCCTTGAAATTGCGGAACTTCACGTCGCCACCAACCCTGGCGATGCGCAGCGTGACGATGTCGCACTCGACCTGGGGAGAGGTCTCGGCTCTCAAACCTAGGGTCCTTGTGACGAGCATGGTGCCCTGGAATGATCCCGAACCTAAGCATGCTCGGGCCCTGTGGAGAGAAGGTCAAACTGGCCATTTGACGAGAGGGTGCGTGAAGGAAGGCTACGTGTCATCCGGCAATGGGCTCGAGTGATCTACACGCTTCTGCGGTGATTCTGGAAGATGACCTCCACACGGTAGCTGCTATGTCTTCCGATGTACCGAAAGATCCTCGACAAAGATTTTTAGGCTAGGTGGTCTAATGAGTCTAACTAAGCCGAAGTATCTCGGTGGCCTGCAATCTCTGCGACTGGGAGATGGTTTGAACGATGGCATCAAAGCAGTCCAGCACCTGTAAGGGAGCAAAGATGTAGGATTTGGCCAGACTCTGCTGTAGGGCTTGCATTGTCTTTGGGCTTTGGGCTTGCCTCTTCTGTGCACTTCTACTTTTGGGGAATTCACAGCAGCGTCCTCGTACATCCATACGTGCTGCTGGACGTTCATGACGGCCATGTTGAAGCGAAACATGTCCTCGAAGCTCCGGGGAACCGCCTGGTCCAGGACAAACACGAGCGGACTTGCTATGAACACACCCAGACAGCCTATACAACCTGCACAGCGCACGGGCTTTTCAAGCTCTGCAGCATGCGCAGCACTGCCCTTGCCTGCAGGTTGTCCTGGCACAAGCTTATTTCACACACACACACACACACACACACACACACACACACAGGCACAGAGGCACAAAGAGACAATATGAGGGCGGGAGACCGGACCCTCCCCCTGCGCTCCTGCAGCTTCTGTGCCGCTCCCGCATTCTCGGTGTGCATCTTTGTGCTCACCTTTGCACCACAGAGCCTCAGGATCGCTGCTTACTTGAAGGCAGGGTGCACGGAAAGGGAAAGTCTCCACAAGGCGAGTCCGCCACACACGGAAAACATATCAAATCATCACATTCGGACGGGCCAAGTCACGATGCGAAGAACCCCCGCTTCTTGCTCGGTGTGCTTGCAGCTGCTTGAGACTTACCAGCGACTCCGAGTTCACCTGCGATGAAGATCTCATGCAAATGGGCACCCCGCAATGTACACCATTCCCCACCTTCTTCCTCGTCGTCCTCCTCCTCCTCCTCAAGCTGCTTTTTGGTCTCCAATGGGGCCGCCAGGGAGTCCTGCCATTGCACGAGTGTGCATCTTCGCATACGCTCTCAAGGAAGCTGCTGGCACTCAGAGAGATTTGCATCGAGCCTCGACATCTTCCACCTGCCGAACGGCCACTTTTCATGGTCGCACATAGTTTGGGGCATGAGCAGGTGATGGCCCTCGAGTACTTGCTCCGTCTTCTGCCGGCAGCCTTGTGTGCTTCGTCCTGGCCGGCCGGGGCCCGTGCAAGCTGCCAGCTGTTGCCTAGGCTGCCAATGTGCACCCTGCGCACATCATCAAGGAGATGCTGCTGCCACAATGCTGATGATCTTCAGCCGCTTGGAGTAATTCTCCCGGATATAGATCAAAGCCCCACCTGCATGCTGTATTGGAAGAATCGCAGGAATCTGCAACATGCAGCACTCATACTCATGTCCGGATCCGGGTTCGCACATCCGACATCTGCGAACACGCCGACCACTGCAGGTCATCCACTACCCTTCTTCCCATGCTTCTGCGAGTGCTGTCTGTGCTTCCTGCTGTTTTCCAGCGTTCCCTCCTTTGTGAAATTTGTGTTGAAGACGATGACCGTTCTCGAGCATGTACGTCCTTCGGCCATTGTTCCCTCTGTATGGGGAGAGCCGTCGTCACTCCTTTCTACAACGTTGGTGCTGCAAAACAACTCGCTATAGACGCCATAAGCCACTTGTGTGGTTTGATGAACGCTTATCATATCGTTGGAGCGATTGCTGCCTCGCGTCAGTCCTCAAATAGAAGGCAGAGCTGGCTTCCGTTGCGGTGCAGAAGGCCAATTTTGCATTTCAATGCATGTTCATACATTTTGGTCGAAACTTGTTGTTCTCGTCCGGCTCGCGCAGACGGGTGCTCTGCAGGTGCCATGTGGCGAGTGCTGGACGACCTGCTGACTGGCACTTCGGTGAAGGTTCTGGTCACTGGCTCGCGCCGTCCGAGCCCAGGGGTTGGTCAGGTTTTCTTGGCCCGATCCTACTTGGATGGCATCTCCCACTGCCTACGCTCATGCCCCGCATGCTACCGTTGCTATCTGCCTTAGTGCAACTAGCACTTGGGGGCGCTGCACTGGTCCTAGTCAAGACGCCTCACAAAAAATTCTCGCCACGCTGCCTGCCTGCATAGCTCACGAGCCGCCGCAGCCCGTGGGCACCAAGGTCGGTGAGCCTCTCTCCGAGTTCTGAGCCCACCTGCACTGGAGGCTCCTTTTCAACAAACTGCTAAATGGGTGGCTGTCAAAATTATATTCCCTTTCTGGGGTGCCCTAAATATTTGATGCCGTATTATAATGGGGACCCACAAAGGGACCATAATTTTGACAACCACCCAAATGGAGAACAGCGCCCGGACATAAACCTTCAAGAACCTCACCCCACGACGGGCAGATCCAGGCAGCGCGGAAACGGGTGGTCAGAATTGTTGAGAGAGGCGGGTTTACGATACTAGGGGGGACCTGATTGGGGCCCTTATGACAACGGGTGATCCTACTGCACTATTTGGGGGTCTATATATTTGGGGGGGGGAGGGGGGTACCTTACTAATTATGGTAAACCCCCAGATGTCTTCGGGTGTCTTGGTGCTCCCAAGACGCCACATCGCAGAGAGCCTCTCCTCAGACACAGATGCAGTTCAGGATACGACCATCAGACGATACCAAGATCATGGCACTCGAACCCCCAAAGATCCCACAACATTAATGCATGCAAGAGAGCTGAAGATCGCAATACGAGGGATGTTGATGTCCACTTCCAGATGCTGAAACCCCATGTGCTCGACCTGAGTTCCACCAAGTTGGCACGAAGCTCCACGAAGATTTCTGCAGAACTCCAGAAACTCGCACCAAAACTCCGAGGGCGTCCACCACACCCATCAGCTGGTTGGGACTGCGTAGACTTTGTACCATCTGGCTGTATCCTTGCTCACCAGAGCGGTGTCCCAGATGTTTACAGACATTGAAACACCCTCCCCCACACAAGCGACGCTGGTGCGCCTACTAACCTCATTCAAGGTTCCAGCCACGAACTTGCCAGCCACGAGAGCAGTACCGGCGCGGAAAATTGTCTGCAAACTCGGCGCGGCATCGAGTATGGCGGCGAAGATGGCCTTCCGAAAGCAAAAAGAGAGTCATGCCGTTGCAGGCCGGCAAAGATGCACCTTGCCTCACCAGCGTGCTCAGGTTTCGCGTGGCAGTCCAGAAAACCTGCGGCAGCAAGCTGCAAAGGATTTGCCAGAAACAGAGCATTGCCTTAGGACTCATATATATATATATATATCAACTACCACTTCAGGACAATCCCAGCGCAACTTTGCCTCGTAGGCACACCAACTGCAGCTAATGTCGTGGCATGCAACATGTTCATAAATATATGGGGTTATCAAGCAGCTCTGAGGATCTGACCCTGCCAACATTCGTGGATCTCCACAATCTGTGCCTCCAATAGGACCAGGGGCACCAAACTATCAATCACCACTTCGTCAGCGTCCACCTCAAACCTCGCAGCGTGATCCACTCATTACTCGCGCAGCGCCAAGACTGCCACTCACGCCAATGATTCAGTGGGTTGTTGCTTGCCGCTTGCCCCGACGTGCCTTTCGTCAGACCCTTCCATGGAGGCGAAAGAAGTGGTTGCAAATTGAACACGCTCCTTGTTGCAGAAGCCAGCAGAACTTGCACATGCCAACATGAGTTTGAAAGTCTGACCAATCCTTCAAAAGCGTGTTGGTTTGGAAACCCATCTTACACATAAGGACGTAAGTCAAGCACACAGCCCTGCAACTCTCAGAAAAGAAACCGGGTCTGAATTAACAATAAGTACAAACAGAAATAATTCCTTAATATTATCCTCCATTTTATCATCAAACACCGAGGCAAGTCCTCGTCTTCGTCGGCTTCTTCCACGACCTGCTCTGAACCGCTTGCCCCGCAGCCAGCTGCATCCTCAATCTCCGAAACCAGCGCCTGTTGAAAACATGGGGCGGGGGGCATTACATATACATATGTACATACTTACTTACTTACTTACTTATGTATCTATGTATCTATTTGTACATACTTGCTTACTTATGTATCTATGTATCTATTTGTATTTACGTATTTCGTATGTTGTTTTTTCAAGCTTCTTTCAGGGCTCGCGGGGGCTTTTCAAAGTCTCCATGGAGGGCACCTTAACGCGCGGGTCGTCCTTGAAAGCCGGCAGCACAGATGCAACCGCCTCCCCAAGGAGAAAGAGGCCGGGACGTACGATGTGAGTGTTTAGGGTCCAGGGTTTTTAGTAGGGTTGTGAGTAGCGTGCTGGGCCTGTGTTTCGGTTTTAGGGTTTCCCTAAACCCTAAACCCTAAAACCCTAAAACCCTAAAACCCTAAAACCCTAAACCCCTAAAACCCTAAAACCCTAAAACCCTAACACCCTAAAACCCTAAAACCCTAAAACCCTAAAACCCTAAAACCCCAAAACCCCAAAACCCTAAAACCCTAAAAACCCTAAAACCCTAGACCCTAAACCCGAAACCCTAAACCCCAGACCCTTTGAACGCGAGGGCCTGGACCAGTGTGTCGCTTCCATCCATGCCATTCTGCTCGATCGCTGCCAAGAGCACCTCGGCTGCCCAGACAAGACAAGGGGTTTAGGGTTTAGGGTTTAGGGTTTAGGGTTTAGGGTTTAGGGTTTAGGGTTTAGGGTTTAGGGTTTAGAGTTTACAGCTTAGGGTTTGGGGCTTAGGGTCCAAAAACAAAACACAGAAGCATTCCCAAACTCGCGTCCAGAAGTGTACCCTCGTCTGACTTTTGCTTCGTATGTTTTGGGGCGTGGGTGGGGGGGGGGGGGGGGGGGGGGGGGGGGGGAGGCCAAACCCTAAACCCTAAACCCTAAACCCTAAATCCTAAACCCTAAACCCTAAACCCTAAACCCTAAACCCTAAGCCGAGGGGCCTCCTGGAAACCTCGGAAGGTGGAGTCCAGCAGGAGGTCCCGCCCTGAGTTTGGGAGCCACTTTGGGGGAGCACTAGGGTTTAGGGTTTAGGGTTTAGGGTTTAGGGTTTAGGGTTTAGGGTTTAGGGTTTAGGGTTTAGGGTTTAGGGTTTAGGGTTTCGGGGACTCAACAAGCATCTTACTGTTGGTTAGCAGGGAATGGGGGAACGAGGTACCGTATATGATCCCTTAAAGGGGATATCTAGGTCCCTATTTCCCCCCCATTCCCTGCTAGCCAACAGTAAGTTGAGGCCGCACGCGCGCCTATTCGTATGTCTGGAAAGGCGCCATCGAAAGCATCGCCTTAACGAGGGAAGAGATGCAACCCTAAACCCTAAACCCTAAACCCTAAACCCTAAACCCTAAACCCTAAACCCTAAACCCGTACGCATTCCCTACGCTGAACTCCCCTTGCCCCTACAGTAGGAGGCTTCCCTTTAACATGCACTTCCAGGTGGCTCAAGAACCGCCGCAGTGCCTCTTTGAACGCTGCAGATATGGACTCCGAGACGTGCTTCTTCAAAAGGCTGCTGGCAAAGAGGCCCTGAAAGATTCACAAGAAGAAGAAAGGCGCAACTCTCTCCCTCTCTCTCTCTCTGGAGTTTCTTCTCCTCCGGGCTCTGTTGCGGCTCAGTGGATAGCTCTAAACCCTAAACCCTAAACCCTAGACCCTAAACCCTCAAAGTTTGTGCCTTGAAGAGGTAGTCCGCAGTGGCGTTCAAGGCGGCATCACCGTGCAGTGCCCTCGGGTGCCTCGCACCCCTGGAGGCCATGGCTACATGGGCTGGGCATAGGGCTACATGTGTTCCTGGTGGTTTTCTGAGTCCCTCCCTTTTTTTGTCGTAGAGGGAAGAATGTGAGGGCACAAGTGGGTGGAGCTGCTGGGAGTGGGGTCGAGTTGTGGGCCTGTGGGCTTGAGTCTGCTGGGCTCACGGTCATGCTGAGTCGGCCTATGTCAGCGACTGGACACGTGCAGAGAGCCAGGCAATCAGCACCAGGCGATGGGGACGGTCAGCGCTGACGAACACAACAGCCAGTTAACTTGCTCGCCGACAGGTGCAGAGGAAGGTGCAGCAACGACAATCAAGTTCACCCTGCAGCATGCAGGCAACTGCTTCCGGCAGCGGCTGTCCTCCCAGGAAAGCATCCTCCCAGTTGACAGGGCTTCAACACCCAACAGCGAAAAACATGTGAAAACCCAAAGAGTGGAGATCAGAATCTTCAGAGAACGCATGTGAAAGCAGCCTTCCAGTGAAGATACATGGCGCTGAGCATCGTATTCAGCTTCAACCCAAGACTTTGAGGTTTAATTAAGAACTGCGACCAAGTTCGAGTTGCATGGCTTCCAGGAAACCTACCCAACCATGCCATGCGAACACCAGCTTACTTCAACTACGATGTCTGTCAACATCCATCAACCTGCATGTCCCTTGTCACCGAGCCATGGATCAGATGCACAAACGAACAATTGGCCCCCAAGTGAGTGTTAATTCATGCAATCAGCGATGCTTCGGAACAGTCAATGCACGACGAACTGCAACGACCTTGCCCCCATTTTTCCGAGCACTGTTCCAACGTTAGCGACATTAGCAGCGGGCAGAGGATGTAGGTGCGTTCAAGGCAGGGGCACCGGCAGAACAAAGAAGCTGAGGTCGTGCATTGGCCTTGTGACCTTTCATAGAACAATGCTCCCCGACTGCACCTTCCCCAAGCCCGGCGAAATTACAAGGAGATCGACACAAAAGCGGGTCCGAAGCTTCACAGCTCTTCGGATTGTCTCTGGCGCAACCCTTCTTGGGATGCATTCAGGCCCATTCTTGAGGCCCGGGAGCAGAGGTCGAAACATCTTTAACGCGCAAGAGAGGGATTTGCTTAGCCCTGCGCTTGCACCTTCGAGACTTGCCGGCTTCACTTGTGGAAGATGGCGGAGCTAGCATTGTCTAGGACGGCCGTCATGATTCCGAGGGCCTGGAAATGAGATAGCGGGGGCCCAAACTTCACCTCCCAATGGGAGGCATCAGACACCCAGGCTTCGAAGATGCGCTCACCCTTCAAAAGCAGTTCCACGTTCCTTTCGTCGGCCGTTCCGGGAAGGATCTGCCTTCGAAGCGAGGCTTGTTTATCGGCCAGGTCGAGCTTGGTTTTGCTGAAGCTGACTGCTCAGAGTTAGGGCTTCGGGGTGTAGGCCGGTGTAGGGCTTTCGGAAAGTCTAAGGAAAGTTTTGGGGGCGTTCTTGTGCGGCTGCATGGGCTCCATGAGGACTCGCGCTCACAAGTCCTCTCCCCAAAAACGAAGGAGAGTTGAAAGCATGATCAACCACCTTCCATTCCCGCCAATGCAGCCATGGGGCAAGTTGTCCAACTTTCTTTCCTGGGCCAACGGCATTGGCAACGAGTGAGAACCACTGGAACCCTAAACCGCCCAACCCAGAGCACCTCCATCCAAAACCGCACACAACCTCAAACCCCTAGCCCCTAGGCCCGGAAGCACAGGGCACACGTTCCATGCTTCTCAAGTTGAAGGTTTTGCTTGCGTTGCGGCAGAGGTGAAGGAATCCCGGCGCTGGGGGCCATGACTTTCGAATGTGGCTTGAGTGTAGAACAAAGCCCTAAGCCCCAGACGATGCCCAACGCAGCCTTATGGTAGTTACAAGCGCCCTTATAGTGTGGGCGCCTAAATGGGAAACCCTTATCATCCCCAAAAACAAGCCGTCTATGCCGGCGACGGGCACTCTCGTGCCCAACCCAGAATGCCAAACGCCGACGGGTTCTGAAGCCCCAAGACCCTCGGCCCCCTGAACCCCAAAGACCCTTTTGCCCTAGAGGCGTTCCGACTTGCACCTTAGGACCAAGCTGCGTGGTAGAGCTGCAGGATCGATTGCGGGAGCGGCGCGCTCTTCAGGCCGTCCTGCAGCCACGATGAGTTTCGGGCTCAAGGCGTGGAGTTTTTTGGTGAGTTCTGGGAGTTTTGGTAGGCCTTCGTTGAAGACTTGAAGGGTTCACCGGCTGCCAAGGGGCTTGTGTACGGCTGGCCGGCGTCATCCGCGGCAGAACGAACTCGACGTGGAGAAGGCCCACTCGTCTCTTGCTCTTGAACCGGAGCAGTCCCATTTCTCTCGCCTCACCTGGTCCCAATCCGCGGCCGAATGCACCACACAGACATGGTATGACATTGTTACATGCACTGGCTTCGCAGTCCTTGCAACATCGCCGAATGGAGCACTTTCCGGTGGCCTGACGGCCCACAGACAGAAAAGGAGTTGTGCCTCTGGGTTGTCTGCCACTCTTCTGCTCTGCGCCTGAAAGGCCGAGTCCTCCCCAGCCATCACAGAGCAAGTACTCCTGCAGAACGACTCTGTGCACGTATGCACAACTGCATCGCTTCAACCTGATGTCAGAGGCCTTGTCTCCTGAAGAGCGATAGATTCTCCCGCAGTACAGGTCCAGCCCCTGACATGCGCAGAAATCTACCTGCAGTGGACTTGACCTCATCCCACTCGAAACAAAAACCCAAACCGGCAAGATAGGCAAAGACTTGAAAGGCAGACTTGAAAGGCATCACAGCAGGGGCCTCAATGCCCAGGGTAAACTGTCGACACGTCGCGTGTCCTGCTATGCAGTTCAGAAAGCACTGAGACATGCGCTGCTCTGCTTCCTATGAGATGTGGTCCTTTCCGGCGGGCAGAAACCAAGGTGTGCGAGCCATCTGCATCTTTGGCAGTGTAGAAGCAGCTCATACCTTGCAACACCACTGAACAAGTGCCCAGACCAGGCTGCACAAAACACAGAAGCGACCCTGACATCACCACGCCAAGTCACGGTGACCACGAAGGCCGCATGACTGTCGCAACACTCCGCGTGACTCCGCAGCCACCGGATTCAGCAACAAGGAACGAACCTCCGCTCAAGATGTCACAATACCTCATATCTGAGCAAAGCTTAGGACGTGGAGTCGACAGCCCCGGCTGACGATGTCAAAAGCAGCCTTCAGGCCGTGCCACACACCCAGTTCGGCCAGCTGAACACCAGGGCCTCAAGGCTTTCAAGGCGTGAGGATTGAGAGCTGGGTAGCAACCCCTTGCAGCTGACTGAGGGTCCATCCCTTGTGCAAGCAGCTCGCGTTGAAGATGACCTGTACAGAGTCTTCGCCCAGGGACGAAAGATGCACCTGTCAGGCAACATGCAAAAGCCGGCTGAACGAAAGAGGGCCGCTCGGCGACATGCACCTCCTCTTGCAATAGATCTCCAGCATAGAGTAGCTGCACGGCCTTCGGCTCACCATAGCTACAGCTCATATATAGACTCGACTTGTATATACATATACACATACATATACATAGACATAGACATCGACATAGACATCGACATAGACATAGACATAAGCATCGACATAGACATCGACATAGACATAGACATAAACACATGCATATACATATACATATACCCGTACATAAACATTTACACATATATATATGCAGATACATCAATGTCAATATCAATATCAATGGCTCGTATGGCAACGCGCCTGGCTTGGGAGACAGCAAATGAGCGCGATGTGATGTCGCGCGGCTTGCACAGTCGCGTCCCGGCCTGAGCTCGCAGCACGAGCGATATGTCACAAGCTGTCACGAGGCGAAGCACCCTCCAGAACGAGTGACAAAGCCAAGTGCTAGGCGGAATTGCAAGCACAACTGCTGGCCAGACAACAAGAGGAACTGGATGCACAATTCTGCGTCGCGATTCTCGCTGGAATGGCCATGCTGGCCAGTCCACAGAGAGGAAAGATGCTGCAAGTGAAGGCCGCCCAAAGGTGCAGGCTTCTTGGCTGAGCCCATCATGGCACCCATGCTTGGCACGACTGGCCCCAGGGCTCAAACATGAGTGGAGGCTGCTGGCTACATCCACACCTGTGAGCAAAGACTTCGCGGTGTGCTGTCCTTGCCGAGGCGACTACAATTCCTCAGCCACTGTTATCTAACCTGTCCAAGGGCTACGGAAAGCTTCAGACAGGTCTGGCCCTGGAACAAGCAACATGCTTTGGGCAGAAGGGGTGACACTAGATGTGGCCGGGTTCGAAGTTTTGACTGGCGGGGGAGGGCTGCTTGAATTGGTCTCACCCTACGACAAGCACTGGTAAGCAAGTGAGCATTGCTTGTTTCTGGTATTCCTTGTTTCTGGCATCGCTTTGGTGAAGAGAACTGAACCGCCAGTTCTGCCCAAAAGTCAGCAACGCACACTGCGCCTGACAAAAATAAATACGTGACGCTCTCCCCGCGTCGTATGCAGCAGCATTGAAACAAACTCCCTTGCTGATGGCTTGGCATCCACTGTGAGAAAAACACCCGAGTCAATGATCATTGAGCTTGGCTCACGGCCGGCCAGACAGCTGAAAGATAAGTTGCCACTGACCTTCTGCTTTGCAAGAACTAATGGCGGAACGGTAACTGATCCGATCACTGGTGAGTTTGGCGTGCTGCATGGAATTGAAGAGATGCAGAACCAACTGCCACTGGTCGCTTCTCTCGCACGAGCTAATTGCAGCACTATAGCTGATCTCACTGGGCACGAGCTGAGCGTTCGGCATTGAGTTGAACAGGCGCAGTGCAAGCTCCCACTGCCCATCCTTCTCACACGCACTAATGGTAGAGTTGTAGCTGATCTCGTTGGGCGTGAGCTTGGCTTTAGGCATGCAGTCGAAAAGATGCAAGGCAAGCATCCACTGCCCTCCTTTCTCACAGGCGCTGATCGCGGCGCTGTAGCTGATGACATCAGGGGAAAGCTGTGCTTGAGACATAGAGCCCAGCAACCCCAAAACGAGGCTCCACTGGTTGCCCTTCTCACAGGAACTGATGGCTGCATTGTAGCTGATAACATCCGGTCCGACGCTGGCTGCTGGCATGGAGTTGAGCAGGTACATGGCGCTCTGCCACTGCCCACCTTTCTCACAGGCACTTATTGTAGCGCTGTAGCTGACAACGTCAGGCAACAACTTGTCTTTGAGCATGGATGTGAACAAATGCAAAGCAAGCTGCCACTGCGCTTGCTTCTCACAGGAGCTGATGTTAGCACTGAAGCTTATTATATCAGGCGCCAGCTTTACTACAGTCATGAGGTTGAGCAGATGAAAGGCAAGCTGCCATTGCCCACCTTTCTCGCACGAACTAATGGTGGCGTTGTAGCTGATTTCGTTTGCCCTGAGCCTGATGCGCGGCATCGCAGTCCACAATTGCAGGGCATGCTGCCATTGGCCGCTCTTCTCGCAAGCACTGATGGTGGCATTACAGCTAATCTCGTCCGGCACGAGCTGAGCGTTCGGCATTGAGTTGAACAGGCGCAGTGCAAGCTCCCACTGCCCATCCTTCTCACACGCACTTATGGTGGAGTTGTAGCTGATCTCGTTGGGCGTGAGCTTAGCTTTTGGCATGCAGTCGAAAAGATGTAAGGCAAGCATCCACTGCCCACCTTTCTCACAGGCGCTGATCGCGGCGCTGTAGCTGATGACATCAGGGGAAAGCTGTGCTTGAGACATAGAGCCCAGCAACCCCAAGACAAACTCTCCTTTACCACCGTCTTCCAAAGCACTGATGGTGGAGTTGTAACTGACGACATCGGGCGCAACATGTGCTTCCGGCATGGAGTCGAACAGATGCAGGGCACGCTGCCACTGCCTACCCTTCGCACATGAGCTGATGATGGCATTGTAGGTAATCACGTTGGGGGCTATCGATTGTCCGATCTGTCCCGTTTGCCCATCTTGCCCATGCCGGCCTTGAATGGAACCCGTCATGGACTGGAAGACATGCAGCGCCAGCTGCCAGAGGCCTCGTTTCCTGCAGGAGCTGATGGTGGAATTGCAACTTATGACATCTGGTACCACCTGGGACCTCGGCATGGAGTCGAGGAAATGGATCGCTAATTGCCATTGGCCGCCTTTGTCACAGGAGCTGATGGCAGCATTCCAGCTCACGACATCCAGCGAGGTTCTGGCATCCAGCATCCACTTGAAAATGTCCAAGCCATGCTGCCACTGCTTGGCACGAGTGCAGGCCACAATTCCCGTCACATATTGCACCGGCCCCAGCTTCAACCAACTCGTGTGAAGGATCTTCAAGACCGCGAGGATCAAATCTGGACGTGTCACCCTCTGCAGGTCTCGCAGCACACCCATCAACACCCGGGGGTCTTGCCGCAACTGCGGCCATACCATCTCTTCCACACTGGCGTGGCATGCAGGCTTTTCCAACTGCTGCAAGCTCTCTGCGAGAGCCTTGGGAAGACCCGGGAGCCCACAGCCCTCCCGCGAAGAGGCACAGAATGCTCGACTGGAAGACATCTGCGCAAGCCATCTTGTGATCATCAAGATTGTGGAGGGTGTTGAGTCTTGATCAGCTCTACTTGCAGCAGCAGCTTGGGCCTGAGGATTGAAGACATCCACGCTCGCGAGTCTTCGATGGGGTGCGCCAGCCACGGTTTTTCGGGTCACGCAAGAGTGGGTTCATCCCATAACTCACACACTTTCAGGCTCGGAGCTTCTCTCTCACATCCCAGTATAAGGTTCTAGTAGGGGTTGTACCTGGAACCCCTTAAGGTTCTGCCTTGGGTTTTTGGGGACCCTGCTTAGCGATCCTTAAGGTCATATTAAGGGACCTATTGGGAGTACATCAGGGGAAGGCCTTAAGGGGTACAACCTTAGAGGGGTGCCATCCCTAATCCCTTGAAAGGCGAAAGGACCCGGAATCGCAAGCCTTCGCTTTTTAAGGCGCAGGCGGGCCTTTGCTCCTTAGCCCTCCAGCTTTTCAAGGAACTCCTCTGACACAGGCATCTCGGGGAAGGCCCGGGCCTTGCAAGGGGCGGGCTTTGGGATTTCCATGGCTTAGGGAGTGCATCAGGGAGGTTCGAAGGTTCCGAAACATCTCTGGTAGCAACCTAGCTCTCAGAAATCCGAGGGCCTTCTCGTCACAGAAGGGGTGGATCAACTTGGTCACGTGGCGTAGGAGCATCGCCCAACAGACCGTGAAGGAGGTGCACACAGCGGTGTCTGGGTGAAGGCAGTAGTCCAGCAAGTGGTTCTTCAGCCACCAGGGGTTTGCTTTGAAGGCCGAGTCCCAAAGGGCTCCGGGTGCACTCAGTGCAGTCCACCACCACTTTCCCTCGGTGATGTTGGGGTAAGGCGCCTTGCTCATCTCGGACGCCATGAACGCGAGGCTCAGGCGAGCACAGACGGGGTGCACCTGGAACGTATCCAAGGCCTCAATATCTGGCCAATACTGGAAGTGTATGTTGCCATCAAAAACTTGTGGCAAGGGCGGAGCCATTTGAGCTTTGTCCCACATCAGGGGAAGGCACTGGGAAGCCTCGTGCAAGTGCCGGGCACTGCTGGAGATCCGCAACGCGGTCGCCACAGGGAGATCGTAGCACTGCAGGATGTTCTGCTCTGTTGACCGATCGATCTGCTGGAACTGGGAGTAAGCCGTCTGCGTCACCGTCCTGCGAAGGGCCGCACGTACCCGTCGCAGGACCTCGGGCGCTTCGACGTCCAGGCTCTCTTGGGAGACCGCCTTGATCATCTCGTAGATGCGGTGCCGTGTGCTGAGCCACCGCGCATTCTCTCCGGAATTGAAATGCCGCACCTCATCTGAGAAGTCCAGCGCATCGCCGGGCCAATCTTCGGGTGTCTCGACAAAGTACCTGGTAATCGTGGCTCCTGTTGGAACTTGGTGCTGGTGCTGATCCGGATCAACAACAAAAAAGGTCACCAAGTCTTCAGGCAAGCCCAACTCGCTGTCATCGAAAAGTATCAAGGCCATGGCCCCTTGCTTGACAGCTTGGTGTGCTTCCTCCGCATTTCTTGCGACACCAACCTGGCCCTGCAGGTCGTCGCCCTCGTCTGCGCCGACCAAGCGTCGGTCTTGCAAAAGGCTTTGCAGGTTCCGGTCTGTGCCAGAGAGCACCTTGCGGCACTTTACCGACAGGCTACCAAAGGCTTCCAGTGCGCCACCTAAATATTCCGCGTCGCACTCCCGCACGACTTCTACAAGCTCCGCATTCTCAGCCTGGCATACAATGTCAGGGATGCTCCCTGGATCGTTCGCAGAAGGGTGACACTCTCTCGTCACCATGAAATCCTTGTGCACCACCGTCTTTTCGTTCCACTTCGCATGCCGCAGCCTAAGCTTCGCTGTGGTACCTGGTAGGGCCAGCGTCACCGTCACCTCCGGAGCCTCTGCGTCCATGACCTCCTGCCAGGCGAGCCAGCTCTGGCTGTGTTCCAACGCGGAGTTGAGGCACCCGAAGAGTCCTCACCCCGAGACAACATGCCAGTCTCACTTGCTCATGCTGCTCATGGCCACAACTACAAAGCTGTAAAAAAAATATAGAACCCCAATCGCGTCGATGAACATCACACAAGACATGAAATGCACCCAATCACTACAACTACTGCACCCAGTGAGGCTGCAAACTTGCAAACTTGCTTGAGAAAAATCATCAGCCACCCACCTTATCAGCTAAACCATGACTGACTTTGCATGAAGTTCTTTGCAGCGGGCGGAAAGATTTCTCGAAGAAGCGGCATCCGTTGGGATCCGCCGATGCAGCATCGTAATTGAAATCGAAACAGTGAGAAGAAGGCGATGCGTCCACGTCCGGGATGATGGCCGAAATCCAATGGTGAGGCATGTACCTGGCCTTGGCAAGCAGAACATGTGATGTACCAATTAGGCAAACTTCCCAGCAGCACTGCCGTCTTAATCAGAACGCACCCCTGCCTCCCAAAAGGTAACTGCCGAGTCACTGGCAAATGTGACCCCCACATGTCCATGCCAGTGACCACGACCCGTGGAACCTTTTTCAAGCCCTTGCTCACTTCCTCGCGCATGTACTGGTCTAACGCCTGTTGCCACTGCACGTCCGAATAGTCCCTGTTTGCACGGGGGTCATAGCATCGGGCCACGCGACCATGCAGCAAATCTCTTTGTGCAGGAGTCAACTCCTGGGGACCTTCCATGTCACGTGGGTAAAGTTGGAGGTCAGGAATGATTTCGGCTTCCAGGCGATCGCGGTGACCTTGAAATTCTTTGGTTCGGGCAGCTGCGGCAAAAGTGCCCAAAGAGGCAACCAGAAACCATGGAACCAGCGCTCTCATCGCAACTGGTCAAAGTGCTTGGCATACAAACCTTGATCTGCAACATGCTTCGGTGGAAGCGATTGCGGGAAAAAATTAACCCCCCAAAATCTCATCCGAAAACTACGAAAAATGGCGCTCCACAGCGCCCTGACATGTTTGTCGTCACCGTCCACCAAAAAAGAACTCGAATCTGTGAGGACATTTAGCAACTTGCTGCCAACCCGAACTTGGCTCTTCGCACGTGCAAGAGCCGCTCCCCCCACTGCTGAAACTGTTCTCCCTTGCAGACTGTTCGAAACAAAACACGTACTACAATTGCAAAGTCCAACTGCGTCGATTTCGTACCGTAGAGTCTTGGTATGTGTTGGTAAATCGCAGCAAAGGGTTTTGGTCAATCTTTCATGACCATACGCAAGCCAGCTACCTCTGCTGTTGAAAGTGATAACATGGCCATGTCTAGAGTCTAGATGTCCAATCAACCCCGCGGCTACGACACACATGCACCGTCATGTGACGCTCAACGAACACTAATACATCCAAGAAACGTGTGATCCAAAACACAGCGACTGAACTACCATGGCATACTGGCGGCACATGCTTTGAAATAGTGCACTGAAGTGCGCCGAGCATGTGAAGTGCGCGGCTTTTTCTGTCAGCCTCAGGCTCTGCGGCGTGCTGCGTGCGCGTGAGATGCCATTGGCGGGACGTGGATCCCAAGTGCTCCAACGGTCTCGGGTCCGGAATAGCAACCGCCCGACCTGGTGGCAAACACGCGTCTCTGTGTGCAGGTGCTACGCACTGAGCAGGGGGAGCTGTGGGGTGCGACACCCTGGCAAAGGAGTGCGAGCCAAGGATGAACAAGGCCCAACTCTTTTAACGAACTGTCAGTGAGTCATCCGTGGTGGTGCTGAGCCTGCACAAGATGCAAGGACGGTCAGCAGGCAGAGATCTTTGTCTGACGCGAACATGCCTTGCATGGAGGACTCGTGCACTCGCAAGCTTGACACACTCTACAACTGATTATGGGCTGTAGGCTTAGGCTCGTGACGGGAGTTCTCGATCCTGTTGAAAGCATCTTGGCTGCCTTCGTCTGCAGCGACGCCGTCTTAGGACACGTTCCCAAACCTCACGTCTGGAACGCTGCTCGGGCACCATGGGAAGCACATGCCATTGGTTGGACACTAATCAGCGTTTGAATAGACACGCGCAGCGACGTTGCTGCTTTCCAGCCCTTAGCGTTGCACTAGCAGGTAGTGCGCCCTCTAGACGCAGAGCGAGTTCTGAGCAAAGCTGTTTAAGTCAAAAGAGAGGCGCCGTGCTTGGCCACTGATAAGAACCATAGCCTGTGGACCCACGAGGAACTAGGCTTTAGCGAGGACCCCCAATCGTAGATCGGGTCCAGAAGAAGCTACGAAACTTGATTGCAATTGCTTGTTATAACACACTTGTGCATGTCAAATTTCTCACACAAGAATCCACAACATGCGTCGTCGCATTGATTTCCTTGCAGCATCAGTTGCTTGCCGGCCTGACATGACTTACCGTCTGGATAGACACGGGCAGCTACCTTGCCGCGTTTCTGTCCTTAGTGCTGCACAACCTCATTACCTCGAGAAACAAAGTGACAGTGAGCTCTGAGGAATGCTACTTCGTTCACAAGAGAGACCCTGCGCTTGGACATCTGATGTGTAACGTGGGCTGTGGACCGGTGAGGACCTTGGCGTTCACGCGGATCCACAAACATAGCTTACCCCTGACCCTAGAGGACCCATAACATCAGCGTCGTTGCAATGATTTCTGTGCACTGCCTCACTTGTGGCATCAGTTTCTTGTCGGTGTGACATGAGTCACCGCGTGGCGCAGCGACGTTGTTGCTTGCCAGCCCTTGGCGTTGCACCACCGCTAGCAGGTAGTGTGCCCGCTAGACTCAGAGCGAGAAGCTGTTTCATTCAAAAGAGAGGCGACGCGCTTGGCCAGTGATGTGTAAAGTGGCCTGTGGTCCCGCGAGGAACTCGGCTTTAACGAGGACCCCCAGTCGTAGCCCGGGTCCAGAATAAGCTGCGAAACTTGATGTCAAATTTCTCACACAAGGATCCACAACATCAGCGTCGTCGCATTGATTTCCTTGCAGCATCAGTTGCTTGCCGGCCTGACATGACTTACCGTCTGGATAGACACGGGCAGCTACCTTGCCGCGTTTCTGTCCTTAGTGCTGCACAACCTCATTACCTCGAGAAACAAAGTGACAGTGAGCTCTGAGGAATGCTACTTCGTTCACAAGAGAGACCCTGCGCTTGGACATCTGATGTGTAACGTGGGCTGTGGACCGGTGAGGACCTTGGCGTTCACGCGGATCCACAAACATAGCTTACCCCTGACCCTAGAGGACCCATAACATCAGCGTCGTTGCAATGATTTCTGTGCACTGAATCACTTGTGGCATTAGTTTCTTGTCGGTGTGACATGAGTCACCGCGTGGCGCAGCGACGTTGTTGCTTGCCAGCCCTCGGCGTTGCACCACCGCTAGCAGGTAGTGTGCCCGCTAGACGCAGAGCGAGAAGGAGAGGCGACGCGCTTGGCCAGTGATGTGTAAAGTGGCCTGTGGTCCCGCGAGGAACTCGGCTTTAACGAGGACCCCCAGTCGTAGCCCGGTCCAGAATAAGCTGCTATCTAGACGTTAGAGAGTGGGCCGGCTCACAAACGGACCCTGAAAGAGCGTAACATCGGCGAGCCCAACTAGTGGCATGAGTTGCTTGCTGGTCTGTGCGGATGTGGAACCTGCAGGGATGGTCCATTCTTCAAAGTGCCTGGAAACGTTTAGCTCCTGATCCGGCAAATGCCTTCCATGTTGAACTCCCTTGGCCTGCACACGCGGCACTGCCAACACCTTGATCGGAAGTAGCTCTCGCCCTTCCTGCGGAAGGCGAGCCTTCTAGACAGCCCCAACCGAACGGCCCTAAGCCTGGACTGAGAGGTGGAGCAGGTGATTTCAGCCCGCAGTCTCGTTCGAATCGATGACGCAGCTAGAATTCTGCCGTGACTTTTGTTGTAGCCGCAGCCAGCCCACCACCCCCACCTTGATCTGCTTGGGGCGATTGTGAGAATCAGCTTGCCCCAGGGCACCCGACTGCGCTTCTGCAACCCAGCACAATGCGCACCAAGTCTGTTGCAAGTGCCGCAAGTACATCCCCCTATTCTGAGACGCCCGCCCGTGAGCAGCAGTGGTCTCGTGTGAAGCGGTCGGGGTGAAGAAGCAGTCCTGACACGCTTGCAGGCGAGAGAACGGCGGAGTGTCGGACTTGGCCATCTTGGCGATCCTGCTGGTACGGATGTTAAGGTTTGCTTCCAAGATTCTCTGCTTGGGTCGTGTTGCCCTTTCGTCCATGATGGCAACATGAACACACAAGTTGCACTCTGCGCCCGGTATCCAGACAGGCATGGTCACAGCCAGCCCGGGCGGCTGAGTCTACAGAGTCAAAATGAAGGCAACAACAAGCCACGACAGTGAAACGGCAAAGGTCGCTGAGCCGACCTCCTTGCCAAAGGCCCTGAGCCTCTTGGCCGGGCATACACATGCATACCCCCGGCGTTCTGTCAGTCATTTCCGTGTCTCTCTTGCCGCGCAGGAACCTCTGGACACAAGGCATTCTTCTGCAATTCCTCTCTCGACGTAGCCGGAGCACCCGAAGGGGGCGAATGCATTGGCTTTTGCGCGTGAATCTTGAGTGAGAGACACCGTCTAACACCCATGTTTGGCCAAAGAGAGCGAGCTTCTCAGAGACCATGTCCTTGACTGCTGGTGAGGGTGATCTAGTCCGAACCATAAGCTCAAGAGTTTCGCGAGATGTTGCCGTTTTACTGCGTCCTTCTACAGAAGAGACGTTTTCACGTGCTCATGACTGCGTAGAACATCAATGGGTCATCATGCTGTAGCACGACGGGATCTATCATGCTGTGCTGGCACGCGATGGACCCTAAACGGCACGAAACGCCCTCTTCGCGCGAGGTTGCGCAGCTGACTTCAGCTTCCCGATGGCTCTAAGCGGAGGCTTGCTGCCAAGTCGAGCGATGGGCTCCACAAAAGCAGCCATTGGTGGCCGTAAAGTGTTGCGGCTTAAGACTTCGGGCTTAGGGTTTGGGGTTTAGGGTGTGTAAATTGAAGAGAACAAAGATCAATGGCAAGAATGAGAGGAAAGGCTGTTAACAACAGCTGTGTTCGTCAGGCCTGCACAGAGCTTATGTACGCAGAAGCCCTCTTGCTGCTTGCTGGCGCCACTCTCTGCACTTGAGACCCACAAACCTGACCTAATGGTCTGGCAACAATGATAGCTTCAAGCCACGTGCCCGAGCTTCGGAAGCCTTTGACATGCTCCGGTGGCTTTGGCACTAGGGGGCTGCGAGGCCGAAGCACATCACAGCCATGGTGCCAGCGTGTCTTGATAGATGTCAACCGAGAAGCTCACGAAAGACCTGTCGCCCGGCATCTTGCACGCATGGCGCCCGCCCTGCGCCTCAGTCAGTTCGAGTCGCGATGGAAGGCGGCCACCGCGGCCTTCTCACTTCGTTTCTAATCAGGAGCCATCTTTGGAAAAGCCTGAGTGAATCTCCGTGAACCTACCGGAAACTACCAGCAGGTGGGAGAGGAATCAAAGGGCAGTCTAGTGACTCTCGAAGTCTCCCAAAGACAAGCAGGGAAGCTCCCTTCGGCGCCGGGCTTGAGACTGCTCCTTGCTGCACCTTGCAGCTTCTCTTCAAGTCTTCAACTGCAAGGGTTTAGGGCTTTTGTTGGTTCCTTTGCCGAGATCCTCTGACGGCTAAGCAAACAAGCGGAAGGAATGTCAAGCGGAGCTGTCCGTGAGCCTTCAGGCGGCAGGAAGCACTAGCAGCTTGTCATGAGTTCTTTGAAGCAGAAGGCATCCCCACCAAGCACCGCACTGGCTTGTCAGAAGGCATCCCCACCAAGCACCGCACTGCCTTGCAGCCCCGCATGACTTGCAGCTGCCAAGACGTCCTCATCCTTCTCTGCATCCGGAACTGTAGGTCTGCGACCTCGCCGATCCTCTCATGATGATGGCCTGTGGTCCGGAGCAGCATCTCTAAATACCATCTCTGGACAGGTGAGGGCGGTGTGGGCGTTCCCTGCTTCCTGCAACTCATGCGACTCAGGCCCTCTTCCCCCTCTCCGGCTCCCCCTCTATCTCTGGCCCACCGCCTTTAGAGAATCCGTGGGGATTGACATTTTTGAGATGGGCTTTGGGGCATCCTGCTCAAGGGTCTCAGCTGGCACCATGAAAGCCCTTGGCTCAGGGCTCCGTGGCAAGCCTGATCTTGTGGGCATAGGCAGCAACTGAACGGGCCTCCTAAACAAAACCGTCAGGAGGTCAATACAGGGTGATGTTGCTATGACTCCACTGGCGGATTAAACTAGCGTCGGAGAAAGAAGGCCCATATGAGAGCATGTCCGCTCTCTTGCACTGCTTGCACTTGGACGGATGCACAGCAGCGTTGCGCCGGACGCTTCGCGCCTAGTCCTCACCCTAAGCACGCATCCCAAACCCTCCACTCAAACGATCCGGGAGAAGCTAAGGGTTTCTGGCTATCCCACAACCATGGCATCCTTGACTTTCAGCCTGCTGCGCCCTGTGGCCCATTTCCAGCAGAGAGAAGAGCTCCACCCTGAGGAGGTGTAGCTGCCTCCAACCACATGGAGTCCGACACAGCACTATGCAGAGAAGACCGGCGCTAAGAGAATCCTGGTGCAAGAGTTAGCCCCGAGTTGCTGCCCGAATCTCTGTGCAGGAGTGCGCCTGAAGTGTCACAGCACCCGGCTCGTGATGCGTGTGCACCCTGTTCTGCCAGCGTCAGCAATGTTTTCCGCCATGCGTAAACTTAGGGGAGCATCAATGTCGTTTGGCCGCAGATGCCGAAGTTGCCTGCGGGTTTAATGCTTCAATCAGGCCTGGAGCAACCTCATGGGGGGCATTGCTAATTCGCCCTTGTGTGCCATCTTACGAGCATTGAAGGATACTGCGTGGTCCTCCTTGTCCGACAATTTGCAGGCTCCAAGGGCTCTGCGGCATCAGCGCGGGAAAGCGTGCGCGTCGTGGCGGATTTCGGCGTGAGCAGTGCTGTGCGGTGGAGCCCGCACCACAGCGTCCACGGCGAGGTCGTGGCAGCGAGCGGCAATGCTCGGCTCGCGAGGCAGATCCTCGTCCGCGTCCATGCAAGCGGGCAGCCTGCACCATACAGCCGAGGTGGGTGATAGCACCGCAGCACGGGTCGGCGGTCTCGTGCACATCTGGTTCGGTGGTGGGGCATTCCCAGACAGGCATATGGGGCACGCGGTGACGTCGGGACGACGGCACATGTCTGGGCGTAGCATGCTGGAAGGTCTCCCCTTTTTTGACATCTCGGTTGCACAGTCCTGAGCTGGCTCCAACTGCGTTTCACCAACGGCGTTGCTTCCAAGTCTGCGGGCAACTGACGTAGCAGGGATGAAGAGCTGGCGACGTACCACAGGTATCCGCTTTCGTGCCTGACCTTGTGCCTCAGCTTGCGTGCTTTCATGTCAGAATGCTAAGGGAGGGATGATTCATCAGTAGGAGGCCGCTGGCCTCTTGGCCAGGACCGGACATACAGAATGCTTTCCTGGCCGTGCTTCGGGACACTGCTGGGCCAGAGGTTGATGCGCATCATGTACAGTGTCTGAAGCATGGCGAGCCTTGTCGTCGTGAGCAGGACGTGCACTTGAGCGTCGGCACAAACCTTTGGGCGCTGGCACGGACTGGGTTCGATGGTGTTGAGTGTACAAGCACATGCGTCCCGGCTGGAATGGCCATCTAAGTAGTCTGGCCCTTGTGATCGCGGTCATGGCACGATCTAAAACACACGGCCTGCTACATCGCTTGCCTGCTGACGCGTTTTTTTGCTCACGAATGACTGCTGAAGCAGTCATTCGTGTGAAGAAAAAGCCTTAAATCAGTTCCAGTTCCACAGAGATGCTGGCGGAACACTCGTTCAAGGACTCGTCCCTGTCAAGTTGAATTCCCTCGAGCCGGTGGTCGGCAGGCCTTCTCACACGTGCTGCGCGCTTCACGCACTGGCTTCGGCTGGATCGCTTACGCGACCCTCGAGGCGCCACGAGCTGCAACCTTGACGTCTTTCTGACCTTGTGGTCGTTTAGACCAGGATGACTCCTTCGCTCCTTCCAAGGACTGGGAAGCTGGCAATCTTGAACACCAACGACATTCGTGCCAAGCAGCCCATCATCAGTTCTGACAAGAAGCAAGTGGGTGAGCTTGCAAGGAATAGAATGGACCCCTAAGATGTTTCCACTTCCTTCCTTGCTTCTGAAGTCAGGTTCAGGCAGCCACACAAAGATTTGTGCTGGTCGTTCCCTCAGGGTTGCTCTTCTTGCCTGTCCTCCATAAAGCGTACCCCTTTCCGAGACACATTGACTGCAGCGCAGCTGGGAAGCCGCTACGCAGAGCTCTTCCGAATGACTGCGGCACTGGCACGGTCCCACTTGCACCGCAACGCACGTGTGCAGTCATGCGGGACGCACAGCTTGTTCTTGCATTTTACTCCTGGATCCTGTCTGAAGCACTTGCAAGCATGAAACTCGCGGCGATCGACTGTAAGACTCGCAACAGAAACTACCACTCAAGGCAGCGACCACTGTGCTGCCAAGGGCGAGACGCGTGCTTGTGCCTCGGCACAACCCCCTCGGCACTGGAATGGCATAGCAGCACACGCTCCGATGGGCATTCGCAGGCAAAGAGACGGCATTCGCCCTGCTCAGCGACAGCCGTGCATCAGCTGCCCAGATGGGTAAGGCGCAAAAACGAAATCGAATCAGGACATCATAGAGTCCACAAGGACTTATGCATTACACGCGGCCACGCCAGCCCTTGTGGTTGACAGGCAGTATAGTGGCATAGACCCGGTGGTCAACACGTCCACGTGTCACGTTTTCAGAACTACAGCTAACATTGCAAATTGAGTCCTCTCCTGCAGCCACTGCGGCAGCAACAGCGACAGTTCTGACTGCAGCCCGGCGCGAAAACCTGCTGAGACCAGCTCTTGCAAATGACTGCGGCACCGGCACAGTCCCACTTGCACCGCAACGCAAGTGTGCAGTCATGCCGGATGCCTGAAGACGCACAGCTTGTTCTTGCATTTTGCCCCGGGATCCTGTCTGAAGCACCTGCAAGCATGAAACTCGCGGCGTTGGACTGTAGGACTCGCAACAGAAACTACCACTCAAGGCAGCGACCACGGTGCTGCCAAGCGCGAGACGCGTGCTTGTGCTTCGGCACAAACCCCTCGGCACTGGAATGGCATAGCAGCACATGCGCCGACTGGGAGGGACAGGCATTCGCAGGCAAAGAGACGGCAGTACAGTGGCATAGACCCGGTGGTCAACACGTCCACGTGTCA